TTTAAATATGAAGGCCACGATTTAAATATGAATATTTAATCCGGGAGCTTCATATTTAAATTATTTAAATCGGGCCCGGGAATTAAATAATTTAAATAATTTAAATAATTTAAATAATTTAAATAATTTAAATCCTGGAGGGGGGGGGGCCGGGCCTCCTCCCGCAGGAGGAATTAAATAATTTAAATATGAAGGCCCCGAATTAAATATTCATATTTAATTCGGGGCCTTCATATTTAAATTATTTAAGTCTTCCTGCGGGAGGAGGCCCCCCCCCCCTCAGGATTTAAATTATTTAAATTATTTAAAATATTTAAATTATTTAAATTATTTAATTCCCGGGCCCGAATTAAATAATTTAAATATGAAGCTCCCGAATTAAATATTCATATTTAAATCGTGGCCTTCATATTTAAATTATTTAAATCGGGCCCGGGAATTAAATAATTTACATAATTTAAATAATTTAAATAATTTTTACAAAACAAAAAAAAAAAAACATCCGGATTGGGGGGGGGGGGGGCCGGGCCTCCTCCCGCAGGAGGAATTAAATAAATTAAAATTTGAAGGCCCCGAATTAAATATTAATATTTAATTCGGGGCCTTCAGATTTAAATTATTTAATTCCTCCTGCGGGAGGAGGCCCGGCCCCCCCCCCTCCAGGATTTAAAATATTTAAATTATTTAAATTATTTAAATTATTTAAATTATTTAAATTATTTAATTCCCGGGCCCGATTTAAATAATTTAAATATGAAGGCCACGATTTAAATATGAATATTTAATTCGGGAGCTTCATATTTAAATTATTTAAATCGGGCCCGGGAATTAAATAATTTAAATAATTTAAATAATTTAAATAATTTAAATAATTTAAATATTTTAAATCCTGGAGGGGGGGGGGCCGGGCCTCCTCCCGCAGGAGGAATTAAATAATTTAAATATGAAGGCCCCGAATTAAATATTAATATTTAATTCGGGGCCTTCATATTTAAATTATTTAATTCTTCCTGCGGGAGGAGGCCCGCCCCCCCCCCTCCAGGATTTAAATTATTTAAATTATTTAATTCCCGGGCCCGAATTAAATAATTTAAATATGAAGCTCCCGAATTAAATAGTCATATTTAAATCGTGGCCTTCATATTTAAATTATTTAAATCGGGCCCGGGAATTAAATAATTTAAATAATTTAAATAATTTAAATATTTTAAATCCTGGAGGGGGGGGGCGGGCCTCCTCCCGCAGGAAGAATTAAATAATTTAAATATGAAGGCTCCGAATTAAATATTCATATTTAATTCGGGGCCTTCATATTTAAATTATTTAATTCCTCCTGCGGGAGGAGGCCCGCCCCCCCCCCTCCAGGATTTAAATTATTTAAATTATTTAAGTTATTTAAATTATTTAATTCCCGGGCCCGAATTAAATAATTTAAATGTGAAGCTCCAGAATTAAATATTCATATTTAAATCGGGGCCTTCATATTTAATTCAGGCCTGGGACCCCCCCTAGGACCTAAAATAGGGTCTATTTGGAAGTTGGCTCTTGTAAATAAGTATACGTTTTGGGGCCTTTTTTCCTCTTGTGAACACGAGTGCCAGCTTCCAAATAAACCCTATTTAAGCTGCACACGGGGGGGGGGTTGTCAGGGAAAGCCCACGCTGAGCCTTCTCCGCAGCGTGCTGGCCCAGTCAACACGCTGATTATGCTTTCGGGGTTCGGGATTTGCATGGCTTTGCTCTTTGGCATTAGAGGATGGCTTAGCAGCCGTTTAGGAGGTACAGGGGCTTCAAAGTTTCACGGTTTGGCGAAGTTTGAGGCTGCAAGTGTTAGGGCTTGAGATGGGCTTGAGTTTGGCAAGGGTCTTGGGCAGTGGGTCGAAGACTGCCGCGACATGCTTGAAGACGATTGGCACGGGTAGGCTTTCGAAGCATTCTGCGAGGCCAGTCGGCCACCCATAAGCACAACACACATGGAGGTTTCCGAAAAGAGGTTAACCTTTGCGGGAGTTCCTCTAATAAGGTCTCTAACAATGAGGTACAGTACTGCCCACAAAAGTGACATTACTGCTTCGCCCAGATCAGTTTCTGATGGGGGGGGCGATCTTGGCCTCGCAAGCTGTGATAGCCTTGGTTTCAGTGCAACAGCGAGTTTCAGCTGAAAGCTCAATGCACAGGCACAAATCAGGCACAAATCGTAGAAACGTTGGCACTCAGCGCCAATGTTTGGCATTGAACATTGGCAGCCAATTTGGGGCGCCTATTTGTTGTTGGTAAGTAGATGGCAGATACTCGTAGATCGTGGATAGGCACGCTTCCTCTAGGGCAACTTAAGGCCGTCATTTCTTTGTAGCCCAGGCAGCAGCAGTGTAGGAGATGGTGTTGGCCTGCGCAACGGTTTGAGGCGGCTTGGACGGCGTGGTGTTGTTTTGGGGATGGTAGATGTTTCTGCTTGTGCTATTTGTGCATATCCCAGGCTTATATAAGCGATGGGCTTGCGGGCACAGTTTTCAGATGCTGTGCGGAGTCTGCACCTGTTTGAGGCATGGTTTCGACCCCAGCATATCCCTGCAAAGTGGTTTAGTTTTGGTGGTTCCGGGGCTTGTCAGGGACCATGCAAATCAGTCTGAGACACAAGCCCAAAACCCTCACCGCCTTGCACAAGGGAGTTGTACGGTCGTTTTTTGGCAGTGGAGAGTTGAAGAGCTTGGACGACGGAAGCCCCCAGACTCTTGCATGCCTCGATATCCAGGAGTGCCGACCATCCCCTCGCCTGCCCATGAAGCCCAAACGGGCGCACCTGCAAGGCCCTTTCCTGGAGGTCTCGGAGAAGGATGAGGGAGCCCAGCCACTGGTCTCCTGGAACTGGGGCTTCTGGGTCTTCTGGGTTTTGCGTGAGCTGAGACTTCATTTCAAGCGCCCTCAAATTCTCCGAACACTTCTGGGGCTCCTTTCTCGCATGCAGAGATGGCCAGGTTGCATGTGACAATGTTGGGCTCCAGCTCCTGGCATCCATTTGCCCCCCCCCCCTCCCTCCCCTCCCCCTGAGAGGCCCTGAGCCCAGAGGCCCCCAAACCCCTCAATCCATGGATTTTGGTTACGGTGTAAAGGGCCTCCGAGTTTAGCTTTTGGCTCCTGACTGCTGAGCTCGGCAAAAAGGTTCAAGGCCACCTTTCCACGTGCGGCCAAGATGAGGACGTCAGGGCTTGTGGGACGCATGAACACGTGCTACGCGGAACTGATAACGATACAAACTTCCAGTAAGTGCTCTCGGAAGAGATATTTTCTGGCTGCACACCTTCTACAGCCCCACTGCCGCAATCGGAGCCCAAAGCTCTCAAGAACTGCCCTCGTGACAAGGGCCCCTCAGGTCGGCCTGCCACTGCTCCCCACGTCCAACTGCGTTGATCGCAGAACCTTCCATGAAGAGCAGAGTGGCTTATGTGCATTTACCCAATGACCCGGGAGGGGCCTCTTCAGGTGTCTTCACTACCTGCTCCCTAGTCTGTTTACGCCCTGGCCTGCCTGGGAGGCAATTAGAAGGAAGCCCAAATGGCTGCAGTGTGTGTCTTCCGTAAGAGCTGACTCTTGTCATGTTAACCTATAACGAGCTTTTCCCTGTAACGCATGGTCTGTGTCACTGTAACCCAAAACCTGTCACGGTTACATATGCCCCTACCATGTCCAAACCCCACCGAAGAGCAATGTCAAATGTCAGGTGGCAGGGGTCGCAGGAGCGCAGGAGCATCTGGGTAGTCCTTTTATGTTGACCCAGGAGCTGTAGGAAACAATGTTGGGCTGCAAGGATCTGCTGCCCATGCTGTGGAGAAGAGCCAGGGCCGCTTGCCACTCCTTCGTGAGCGGCTTCGGAACTCCGGTGATTGGAGTGGGCTTTGGAGGCTTTAGGGGGGCTTTGGCTGGTCCGAACCGCTTCGCGCTTTAGGGCCCAGGGCTCTTTGGCGTGGTCAGCAATGGTCAACACTTTGACAAATTCATCGCACAAGCAAGTTGCACCAGTTGTACAAGTTTTAACAAGACCAAACTTGGGGATTTTGGAGCTTCGGGGGCCCTGGCCTGGCCCTTCTCGCAGGCGCTGATCGCTGAGCTTATGCTGATGACGTTGGGGCGGAGGCTCCTGGGGCGTGTTTCAAGGGTGCCGGGCCATTCTTGATCAGCTATGAGGACAGGCTAGCTTATCCCCCAAGCCCCTTAGCCCTGTATCCCCCCCCTACACTTCCCAACCTTTAGCCCTTGTTCCTGGCGGCTTGTATCTGGTGAGGTACATGCAATCATGCTTCACCCACCTGCGAAACATCCCCTAACTCGAAACCTGACGAAACTGCCAAGTAAATCAAACCTTCCTCATGAAATCTCTATGAATCCCGATCTTTAAAGGTTCGAACTCATTCTGTTCAAGAAGCTACTGATTTCGCTGTCTTCTGGTCTAGAATCTCAATCTTCATGGTCTTGACAGATTTTGTGTACTTCATGGCGGTCCTAAACGACACCATGTGCAAGAGTAGAGCCCACAGCCGCGTGTTTCGTTTGGCTTCACTGCTAGATCACCGGTCCTGGCATCGGCCTCATTGAGCAATGCGACGGCCTCTCTCCTAAGAGACAGGAGCGGAGGAGAACAGAAATGAAGACAGGACATTACAGGGCCTTTCAGAAGGTCTGAGGCATCTGAGCCGAATCACAAAGCTCGCCCTGCCCACGACAGCGCCCTACAAACACAACAAACGTAAGAAGGTGCTCTCACTCCTTGAACTTCTCAGAGCTGATGGCCATTCAATGCTATTGACAAAGGACTCTGCTGGATTGAAAGAGATCCTTCCTTATCAACAGCCGCACTAAGTTCACCTGAGCTGACGAGAGTGGCTTGGTGTTGGTGAGGTTGATGCGGGATCTACGCTGATTCTGGATTCTATGGCCCGGAATCTTCGATGAGAAGGTGTATGGACTCAGCTTCAATGCTCCTACACTGACAAACATGCCCAATATCTAGCTTGCATGGAAGACCATCATGTCAGCAAAGTACCCCACGGGCACTATGTAATGTAGCGGAGTGGAAGATGCGAGAAATGGTGAGGCAATCCAACCTGCGGAAAAAAGCCAAGATTGCAAATAACGGTTAAGCCAGTCTGGCAGGGCATCCACTGGGCGCCGTTCTCGCATGCGTCGATGGCTGCGTTGTACCTCGCGTGAGCTGACAAAATGTGGTGGAAGGGAGAGGCGAGTCGGGGCACGAGATGAGGTTCGGCTGCAGATTCCAGGCCGTGAGATTCCCAAACAGGTGCCTCGGACCAACAACTGAAGGTGTTCATCTGAATGCAGAGGCAACAGCTCTGTGGTTACATGCTGTCCGGTCTGCAGTGCCCGCTCCCATTCTTCGCTCTTGCCCAGCGCGCTGATGGCCTGCTTTGGCCAGGAGCTCTCCAAACTGTGGAAACAGGGTTAGGGCGGTTAGGGGTTACAGGCGCTTTACTTCAGGCCGTCAAGGTCAGCACGTTGTACGGTTCACGTGTTCGTGGTCCTATGGATGCCTCCTCGACAGATCCCGAGACCCTAAGCTTTACTGCGCAGGAACCTTCCCTCAAAGGCACAAGCTGGATTGGGCGAGCCGCCGCATTCTGGGTGATGATATTGGGGTCGCAAGCCTGCGCAGGGCTTGAGCTGTTTACGGGTAGATGGTGCGGGTTTAGGCATGCTCAGGCTTCGGGTTAAGGGTTTTTTGGGCGTTCTTCGCAACACTCAGCGAATCTTGGGAGCATGCGAACATAGAAGCATTTGCCGCAGCGCCTTCTGCTGCATCTCATCAAGCAGGTGCAGAGCAACAGCCCAGCGCCCGGCCCTTTCGCATGCAGTGAGAGCGGCGCTGTACGTAACTACCTGGGCATTGGCGAGTTTACATCAAGGCACCCCTCGGCGACCCTCTGATATCTAATGTTGTTCAATGAAATTGATATGCCCTGGCCCCTAACAGGCATGGCACTACATGTGAGCACCTGACAACAATGTTTCAGAGAAGTCTGTCCTGAGGCCAGACATGCCCTCGAAGAACTGCCAATCAAGTAGCGTTTGCTAGGGAGCCACCAAGACTGACATCGCGCCTAAACAGCTATCGAATCACCGCCCAAGCTGCAGAGGGCTGCATCGATCTTTGCCCCAGCTCGTCCAGTAGAAACAGGGCCTGTTGACGGTTTAGGGTGTGGAGGTGGCCGGAGGTGGTAGATGCACACAGGTGTTTAAGGCTGTTTAAGGTGCTGTCGAGCGGTTCAGGACAGGCATCCGAGGGACCCCGAGTTTTTGCAGGACGAGCCGGGACCTTCAATGCACAATGCCGGGCATGAAATTCTGAGGTTTGGGGCATTTGTTGGTCCGGGTCGTGCCGGAATGCGAGATGGCATCGAAACCGCCTGCCCGTGCCGGAGTGGACCACGCATGGGACAGTCAGATCTCTGGCGTCTCGTTTCGCTTGAGGCCTGCGACCAGTGCTGCCCGCGTTCGCATGCCGTGATGGCGGCGTTGAAAGCAATCCTCGGTGCTGGGTGCAGATGTGCCGCACAATTAAGCTGATGCGCGAGAGCCTCTACTACTATTCGTTGTAAACTGAGGAGTTGTCTCGGGGGCCTGCTGACTGCCGCACAAAGCAAGGATCCCGTCCAAGTGTAACTCCAGAGGGCTGGGCAAAGCTAAATGAAGTAAAGAGCTCACAACCTCAAGGAATCTTCCCCCATGATTAAAAGTTTGGTTGAGTTTGAAGGGTACCAGTGCAGCTGCAGCACACGCTCGGCTCGACAATCTCAGCATCCAAGCTTTCCAAGAGATGCTGAGCCTCTTGTCTCCGCAGGCACAGGCTTAAGGATTGCTCTGGAATTTTAGGCTTTAAGGCTTGGATTCTTAGCGGTTGAGCTGCACCAGCCCTCGGTCAGCAGAAGGATTAGGGCCTTTTGAGGTTGGGCTCAGTTGGGTTGACAGTCTTTCTTGGTTTCATGTGCCGCCTCTTGCCAGCGCCCGGCCCCTGCACATGCACTGATTGCGGCGCTGTACCTTGCAGATGGCGGCGTGCGGGGCTCTGACATTAAACGGGCGGCAGGCAAAGAGGCAAAGGGGGAGCTCTGACCTCACTTTGTCGCCCCATCGGCAGAAGACTGCGAGATGCTCAAGACTCAGTTGAGATTGAGAGGTTTGGGGATTGATGTTGGCAGCTCTGACCTCCCAGTATTCAATGGTAGCAGCAAATGTCAGGACATCCAGACAACCTTGTGCTGCTGCAGCGCTCATGGAAATCATCCCCTGAGGACATACCCACCACGATAAGACCAGCTGCGTTGTGTCATTGCCCACAAGCCGCTTCTCTGGCAGCACCTCTCAGGATTCTCATGATAACTGCGACATCGACAAACCTGCGAGCATGCAGAGCATGCAGTTGGCTTCCCTTCTTTCCTATGCGCGGGTCTGGGCGTGCTGCAGCGCGCGAGACCGTGGCGCAGTGCGGGAGTGCGGGGTCTTACGTGTTCGAGGGCTCCAGGTGCCCAACATCATGTCGTCGAAACTTTGCGCCTCCAGCAACCTCAGAGCTTCTTGCCAGTGATCGCACTTCCTTGGCTTGGCGATCCGAGCAAAAAGCGTAGAGTTTGGACCCTCGGTCTCTTGATTCATGCTGTCTGCAGGCTACAAATCGACCGGTTCTGGCACTGCTAAGTCTTGCAGTTCTGCGAAAGACTTCATCGTCTTCATCCAAATAAGCGTCTTCACGGTCGATGTTGCTGTCTGTCTGTTTTGCATTTGAATGTAAAGTCCTCATGGTACCGATGCATCAATGAAATGTTCAAACAGTAGGGTCTAGGATGTTGTCTTGTAGTTTTGTTTATGCACTTTTCTTTGAAGGTATGTTGCTTGGGTTGCCCACATCCTGTGAATTTGTACCGCTGAGTTGGCTCATCACCGCTCTACCGACATGTATGCAGTCTTGACAGGCTGAGAAGAAGCATACGATACGCAGTTAGACTTGACGCAAAGGAGATTTATTGCAACTGTACGACATGTTACAACTACTTCTGTGTGAAGGGGTCTGTTGAGACACTAAGCATCCTCCTATTGAGGGTGGAACACGGCAGGTATCCGAGCGCCATGTATCGGAATGCAAGAGTATATGCATCGGAAATCCACTTGGAGCATTTCCACGTGCAATCGGAAGATAGAGATGCTAGCTCGGAATATTTATGTCCTGTTTTGTGGTGCGACAGGTTTCTCGCATCATACATGCTTTCGTCCGCATGTGGTTGAAAACAGTTCGTAGGGAAGAGCTTCACATTCACAAGGAAGCATATTCAGTGTACAGGGAGACAGGTTTCAAGCTCACGATACAATTTGTCCTTTCACTTCAACCAGAAGAACTTGTGGTGTGTTCGGTTTTCTTCTAGCGGAACATGTGGCGACAAATTCCAAACTGTTCGGACGCTGCATATGTTTGTTGCTTCTTGCGTACTGATGCGTTCCATGTTTTCACAGACTGTTGTGGACAAAACTGAAGATTAAACAGTCCATCCTTCTTCGTCGTTCTGCAAGAATCGTGTCGAAACTTTCTTCACTTTGCAAGCACCGACATTTCTGTAGCAATGGTCACTGCATACTTGTCAAGGAACTTGCGTGTCAAAGCATTCTACTTCTTGAACGTTCAACGCTCTCTTCCACAAAGTTGCTCTTCATGTTCACACTGCAATGCTCAATCAGTTCTAAACAAAGTTCCTCGTACAAAATCCATGAAACAGGGTGCAGAAAGCTTCTCAGGCGCTAGCTACTACAGCCATGACCATACAGCAAACGGCAAAAACAGTGAAATCAGTCCAACACGCAAATACCTGCTCTGGCATGTTATGCTTCAGGCATCAACTTGTGATGACATCCTGTTTCCAGCTTGGTGTCTCGCACGCACTGATAGCCGCATTGAAGGAAATGACGTCCATCTGAGGGATCTTGAGATATGGGAGCGAAGCTCCGAGCCCTGAACCACCTAAACACCTGAGGTCCGAAGTCCTGCACCCACGCAAGTTCGTGCAGAAAAGAGAGCATCTTGCGACCGCGTGCCTCGTACAGCTCCCTCTGCATGTCCCTTGAGAGCATCTTCGAAGTTGTGGCGGGACGGGCTTGCTCGTCCCGTACTTCAGTGTGAAGGTTCAGGGCTTCGGTTTATCCCTCTGCGAGAGAGTCACTTTGTGAGGGGGGAAGACTTCAGGACTTCGGGCACATCATGCCCTCCCATTCTTCGAGCGCTGATCAACCCCGATGTCAAGCTGCCGACCAATTCTTTTGGCATCTTGAAACTGCTGGACCCCCAGAAACCCGTTCAAAAAAAACAACAAATAAATACACCAACAGCCTAAACTCCCTCATTCCCCTTTTCTTTGCAAGCCTCTCCACCCCAAGCCCTTCAAGGCCGAATCAAGATTAAACGCTCCTCCTCCCCGCTTCCCCCCCCTTCCCCATAAAACCCCGGGTCAAACTGCTGGCAAAGGTACTCAAGCAAGCAGAGTGCAAGTTGCCATTGCCTCCCTTTCCCGCATGCCGTGATGGCGGAGTTGAAGATAATCGTATCCTCGTTGTCTTCGAGTCAGGACACAGCTCGATCACTTTACCTGCCTCATCTACCAGCCACTGGTGGAACCAGGCCAGGGCTTGATGTGTAGCGTAGCTTTAAGGAAGCAGGCAGGCTCAAGACATCCTGAAATTGAGAGCGCATCGATGCTCTGCTACCAGGTCTCTTTAAAGAGTCTGCAAATGAGCCAACCCAACTGGGCTAACAACTGGGCCAACCCAACTGGGCCAACAACTGGGCCAACTGGGCCGAGGCTCCGAGCGGAGGCCCTGGGCTGCAAGATCCGCCTTGGACAAGAAAGGAGAAGAACAAAACAAAAAGAGGGGGAGTCTTCTTTGATGCCTTTTGGGTGTCATCACTTCCCCACACCTCAGCATGTCAGAAGAAGTTTCTCTCTCCACACCCTCAACCTGCATTACTTCTGCAATATCGAGGCTGCAAGAATGCTGCGAACTCCGATGCCCCCGCTAGTGCGAGCTCCAGCTTCCAGCCAGTGGAGGGCCTCCTCCCAAAAATGGCCACGGGCGCACACGCTGACCAGGACGCCATACCTAACCCCGCGGATCTGCATTGGGTAGTTTGGGTAGTTTGGGTAGTGGCTTGGCGGGGCTTTTTGGGAACAGGCGAGCAAACTCACAATTCAACCCCCAGGCCTCCAAGCACTTGCGGCCCCAAATGGTTTTGTGATTTCGGAATTTCCTGAAACCCGAACCCCGTGCAACTTCCGCTTTCTTCTCTAGCCAAGAGAAAAGGAATATCCACATCCATGCACCCCCGAGCAAGCTAGGAAACAACACCCACGCCCTCATATAACCTGATGCCAACAAGCACCCGGCCCGAAGCCCCATAAAGCCCGCATCCTCGAACCACCCAACTCGGCCCGGTGACGCCACCTGGTCCACCTGGGCCAGGCAGAGAAGACTCGAGAAGACTTGAGAACTTCAAGCCATAGCCATAACCCCCACGCTCTCCTGAGTATTCCGGGCATCCTGAAACCCGCAACATGCTGCGACCCTAAACCGCACCCACCCACCCCCCCCCCGAAACAAAAAAAAAACATACTCCTCCAGCATGCCCCGAGGGTGTTCTCACTAGCCCCAAAGATATATATATATATATCAATGCGAAGAATAGAACAGAACAACAGACTAATATGTACATAAGACATATAAGTGTGTGGATGTATATGTGTGTGAAAGATACAAAAATTGAAATTGCAAAGGAAAACCTCACCTCCAGGCGTGCCCATCGCGCGGCGGCGAAGCGTCGGGAGGCTTGGGAGGGCTCGGTTCGGCGCAGCTCCTGGAGGAGGGAAAATTGGAAGCTTTAGGGTTTGGGCTTCATGGATGCGAAAAGGACGGCTGCAGATGGTTGAACAGTTTCGATTAAGCTCTACATTGCTGAGGTCAGTACTAAACAAACCTCTTCAAAGGGCCCTGCCCGAAATTCATAATCTTGAGCAGATGTTTCACATGCAGTCGGTGGGCATTGCACAGACAGTCCTAACACAGTCTGGTCGTTTAGTTTTGCTGCCACTCATATGTCAAAGCGGCGAAGTGAAACGCACGGCGCAACAGTGGTGATGTCAACCACATGCTGGCAGGAAACTCTAGTTGCCGTAAGAGCTCTACAAGCTAGCGATAGCAAGCGCAAGATTCTAAACTGCAAACACCAGGATCACAAGGCTAAACAGGAGGAGAGGGAAGGTTAGGGCTCTTGAGTTGTGGATGATAAACTAGATCCCCAGAAACAGCACATGAGGAGCTTCTTTCAGAATGACCATCAAGATACTTGGAATCTGGGGCTGCCAGTCAGTCAGCAGTTTTCAATTTGATGCTTCTCCTGGGATACGTGCTTTACATGACTCTCATGGAGTCCATCCGATGATCGAGGCAACCCCCATGTCTTTTCAGTGGTGTCGCTCAGAGGTCGAACCTGGGAGCGTCGGGGCTGAGGGTGACTCGGCTACATCTTGCACAGTACAGTCTACCTCGTCATCAGCACAGCTACACAGCTCTGCCTCTGATGAAAGAGTGACTCTGGGAGATGCATTTGATGACTACCATGACTACGATGGCCACACACCTCGCAGGCCCTAACCACGGCGCGCTTCTCCACACGGAGCCCATGGAGCCCATGGAGCCCATGGAGCCCTGATCTGGGCGGAACTCGGTGGCGAAGGTGCTCCCAGAACGGTTATGGCAAGAACCCCCCCCCCCCCTCCTGAACTTGCGATCCTGAAACACGGGTCGGGGCGAAAAGGTGCTGTCCCAAATTCAATCTTTGTCAAAGCAGCACAGTGTAGAACCTTGCAAAGTGACCCACTGTGACACGATGCACTCTGAGCTTGCACGCATTCGGCCGCTTGCTGCCCACCACATCCTTTCCATCATCTCATCCTTGCTCTGAGGGTGGCAGCGGATCCACACAACTCGAAGCCCAGCATGCATTAGAACATGAAGATCTCCATGGTATGTGGGGTTCACCGGCTGCAGGGATCACTAAAGGCATCCAAGCATCCGTACACCCCCACCGGTGCACCCACAAGCCCCTCAACAGCATCGGCGTGACGCAGGATCTGGCAGGTAATTGGGATCTTTGGATGAGCAACGACCATTCTTGTGCAATTGAACTGGCACCCATAAGGGCCTTACCAAAACGAGGCCCGTTCACGCTTGCGTCACTTCTTTGGGTTTTTGGAGCTTATGCCCACCTTGCCCGGGACCCAGGCATTGGGGCCTCTAAGAAGGGTCTGAGATGCCAGAGGCAAACCTTGCAAGGACCCTCTCTTTGACAGAGGCCCTGCCTGCACCTGGTAGCAGCAGATGCAGCAAACCGCTTTGATCAACGATTTCGGCAAGCTCTCTGTGATCCGGTACCTGGGTGCTTGGGATGTATGATGGTGTATGGCTTTGCAGGGTTTTGAGGGCCTGCGGATTTACGCCGTTCAGATCCACATGTTCGGGCCTGTTTGGACAGTCAGGGCGCGCAGAGCGTACTTGGCATACTGTGGGGATTGTGGGTTTGACCCGTTGGGGTCAGAGTTTTGGACCTACCCAGGCTGAGGGGCCGAGGGGCCGAGGGGCCGAGGGGCCGAGGGGGCGGCAACAGAACGGTTCAACCCTGAAGGCGAGAGGGCACTCAGCAAAGTGCTTTGATTGCTCGAGCCCGAAACCATCTCCAGAACATCCGAAGGTCGCAGCCACAAAACCCATGAAACCAAGAGAAGTCTTTAGGCCACGAGGGGCTTAGGGTTCAGGTCACGAGGGGCTCAGGCTGCTCAGGGATGGTGGTGCTGCAGCAAAACAGCATCGACAGGATTCCCAGGTCTTGCTCTGCCAAGCCGCTTAGCCTTGATTCCCAGGAACACCTGCACATGGGTAACGGATTGCGAAGCGGCGAAGCGAATGTCTCAGGGATCCTCCTGGCATATTGAACGTACTTCGGGTGTCTTTGGTTGACTTTGGTTGAACCGTTCAGCGTCGTTGGGTTGGGGATTCAGAGGTCTCGAGCCGGTGCAGGGGGTCAGCCCACATAGTTTACACGGGTCGCGACAGCAGGCACTGCCTCCACAACACTCGACTTACTGCTGGCATGTATGCACAAATGAGCTCTCGTAGACAAACTGACGGTCCGGTGAGACGTTTTGTGGGGCAGCACTCTCGCAGTGGGACCTACAAACCAGCCCGCGCCAACGCGCGGCAAAGTGCCAAAAAAAGGCTTTCATTCAGACAGGAACAACATTGTCGAGCCATCCCTCAGCGAAGAACTGAGGTCCACACCAGGATACTCAGGATGAACAAGAGCGTACCGGCCGTGCCTTGTCATGTTGCGGGTTTGCAGACTCTAGACCTTTGGGGTCTTCTCGACACGCAAGTGCACTGCTCGTGATACTTCAACAAAAAGCTGAACGTAAACCGAAAGCAGACTCCAGCGTTGTGGAAAGTCGCCAAGTCCCGGTGTGACACCCTGTGTAATCCTTGCGCAGCTCCGTTGGATCGCGGAGTGGGTTCGGAAAAAGGTCCTGGCCCTCGAAGCTCTAGGAACTCGTGCCTGTAACCAAACAGCTACGGCATCAGAATCACGATGCTGACACCGAGATCGTCAACCCGAGCAAAGCCCCAAACTGGGCCCCAACGCTCCAAACCTCCAAACCTGTGGAAAACCTTGGTTAAACATTTGAACTGTTTTGGATAGAAGGGCAGCACCGAACAGCAAGAAATTGTTCTGCAAATGCTGCGGGGCTGTGAAAGGCCTGTGAGACAGCCAGTACTTCTCAGAATGCCCCCCCCCCCCCCCGTGCCTCCTCCAATCAAGTACATCGCCAAGGTGTAGGGGAGCGCAAACTCCTCGAAGCACGTCAAGACCCGCAACCTCCCACTCTCAACACCCTGAACTCCGAAGATCCCAAAAAAACACAACTGCCCCCGAACCTTCAAAACTCCAAACGGAAACAGCCCTGACAACCAAGTTCCGTCTCATTGTCGGGCAAGGCGCACGCGCGCTGTCTGTGCCTCCATTGCCTTCACCCCAAACTGTAAACCTTTAAACCTTCAAACTGTTAAAGCCCCCTGAGGCTTCGAAAACGGATGGGCCACACTGAATGGTCGCCACTGAAAGCTTGAAGCATCTGCATCTTGGAGACACCGAACCCAAAAAAAAAACCAAGTCCTTCTTGATCTCGATGCCCAGCCCGGCGAGCTCAAATGGGGCAGTGCGCTCGATCATCTCGAAGGTCACCACACACCTGGAGAGCTTAGCAGCGGAAGTCATGGTATAGGGTCTTGAAGGGGCAGTGAGTTTGTCAGACTTCGTGGGCTCTAAACCTCCCAATGAGAATTCATGAAAACGTTTCCCCCAAGACCCCCTCGTAGCTGCATACCCATCTGAGTCGGAGTACTGGTCCGAGTACTGGGACTCCGAGTGTTTGCGGGCTGTCAAGACATGTGAGGGCAGAGGACCTGCCCTGGGAATGATAGGTACGAAGGTACTGAAGCCCTGAGCCATTGAGCCAGTTTAAGGCTCAGGCGGCTAGGCGGGTCAGGCCGTGATGGTCATTGCATCCGGGCCACGGGCAGCAGAGATAGAAGAGAGCTCGGCACGGGTTTGCACAGCAGCCGAAGAGACTGGCCTCCGGGGCTGTTGGATGCTTTTGTGCGCGCGCATTTGGGGTTTCTGAGGTCGAGATTTAAAGGTTCCGGGGTGTGGGCGTCTCTGGCGCTGAACTTTCAACGAGGTTGACCGGGCTTAGGCTAGGATTTAGGGTTGACAGGCCTGGAAAGACATCACGCGGCCTGGAACCCGAGTCTGAACACAAATGGTTTTTTTATCCCAAGAGCTGAAAACCGAAGTCCCATGTCCCCAACCGAGTCCCCCGGCCCGGCCCCCCCCCCCCCCCGAACCCCCCGTGTCCCTCCCTCAACCTTTGCCTGCCATGGTCCTGGGGGATATTGCGGCGCTTGCCCCGAGATGACAGGGGCACCGCCGACGTTCACCTGAGATGGTTTTCCATCTCCTACTCAAAGCTACGGGGATCCTAGGACCTCAGAGGCAGCATCCGTGGTCTCTGAATTGAACCAAGAAGCTGACACGTTGACCTGCGGCTGGGCCTGCATGACCTGTTGAGGATTTTTGTGAGTTCCATCTCGGGTCCTGCTTGGGCCTGCTTTGGCAAGCTGTTATCAGAACTCCGGACATGCTGCATAATCTGCATAGTGTCCGGAATACTCACCCAAAATCGTCAGAATGGTACTGCTCGACGGCTCAGCCCGATGATCCGGATACCTATATAAGCCCACAGCCTCCCAACATATCCAAGAACTCCCTTGCATCCGGCCCAATGACAGTTTCAACACTGCCCACCTGCGGCTGCATGGCCGCGATCAAGGACTTCGCACACTTCGCACAAAGGGAGAGCTGGGCTTAAGCCGCTCAAGCCCTGCTTCGGAAGCGTCACGCATGCAAGGAAAGAAAAGGAGCCAAACGTGCAAGGAAATGGGGTTCTCGCCTTCCTTGCGAACACTCTCTGCGGAACACACACACACACACACACACACACACACACACACACACACACCTACCTACCTACCTCCCGTTTACTCAAGCCCTCCACATGACAGAATGTGTGTCCTGGGTGAGCCGCAGCACCTCCACCGGGGCCCCAACCATCCCATGGCGCAACACCGCTCACTTGTTTCCAATATCCCAAAGTTTGTTGAAACAAACCTCCGTCAAGTCCAAACAGTAGGGGTAGGGAGTTCAGAGCTGGCTTTGGATGGCTATGGGTTGTGGCCTGAAACACGAAATGAGAATCCCTGGGAAGGACTTCGTTTGCTTCGTATTCTCTTGGGCGACGGCCGCTTGGCACACCAAGCTTGACAATGCAAACGCCGGTTTCAGCTCAGGCAAGGGTGTCGTGTTGCAACAGACAGCAAATCGCCAAAACCTTGAGCACTCAATCGTGGATGGAACGCAGGTCGGAAAGTAGCATGAGCAAGCTCCCTGAAGTGCGATGGGCAGCTGAAAAGCTGGAAGACACAGCCAGGCTCTGTTCGAAGCAGCCCTTGCGGCCTTGATTGAAGCCTGCTCCAATGCTGTCAGCAGCCGTTCCAACAAGACCTGCATCAACCGTGGCCGGAGCTTTTCTGTAGGGATGGGCCGCGAACCCTCACGTCCTAAGCTTCTGGTTAAGGTGCTGGAAGCACAACCACTTGCACTGATGGGACGCAAAGGTTCTAAGGAGAGGCCGCTGCCTTGTGGGATGGTCTGCGCACAGCTTTGTGACCTCGCACCCTCTACACCCCTGCCTGCCCCAAGAAAAATCCTAGCAATGTGTGGCCAGAGGGCATCAAAGTTGGCCGCACCCCGGCCGAAGCCCGCAAAGCCCGCGAAGTGGACCACTGCCGTGCAGGCCTGCGGCTGAGAGATGCTGTTGAAGTCTCTGCTGCTTGTGTCTCCATCTGCTCCTTTTTGAGGAAAAGGCCCTATGAATTCGCCTCGGCCTCGGGCGTGATGGGCGCAGGGGCTTTTCCCATACACAGCCCACACGGGCTGCACGAACTCTCGCAAAGCTGTCCTCACAAAGCCTGCACGATACTTCACCAAGTTTTGCCACACAAGCAGCGTGATTGCTCCACGCTGTCCCAGGTCGAGGCGGGTCACATAGCGCTAAAATATGCCCATCTCATTGAAGGCTCTCGTAAAAGCAGCCCCTCCAAGCTACCAGCAACAACGCCGCCTCGTGAGGCTGCAGCCGCTGGACTGCGTTGAGCACCTGTGATATTTTGGGTTCAGACTCCAGAGGAGGTTGGCCCCCGCTGCGTTAAGGTCCCACGCTGTGTTAATTAAGGTTTAGGAAGCCTGAACCCACGATGTCTCAAGAACCCCCTATCGCCCCGGAAACTTTCGCTGCACCGAGCGCCTCGCCCGCCGTGCGCTCGGCCCGGGGCCCTTGGCCAGGCTCCTCGGAGAGCACAAAGAGACCTGAAAACAAAGCGTTTTGACAAAAAAGAGTGATCACGCAAAGTGTCTTCAAAGCGATCACATTCAGAGGTTTTAAGCGGCAGGTCGACAAGTCTGGAGTCTGCGAGTCTACAAGTTTCGGTGGGACTTTCGCCAGCAGCCCAAGGGACCCAAGCGGCCCAAGAAACCCTAAAATCTTCTGCCGCGCGACTCCGTCGTGGCCGCTGCAAAAGCCGGGAGAGCTCGCTAGACATGGTGCCGAAGTCTGGGGATTCAGAGCCGATGCAGAGAGGGCTTAGGGCTCAGGTTGAGGGGATGTCAAAGCGCAAGCCCGAAATCTACCACCTCGACGTACTTCAACCACCTCGCAAGCAAGAAAGCTAAAGTTACTCCTCAATGCCGCTTCAAGCCTCTGCGCAGGGTGGCCACTAGGGCTTTGCAGGAGGGCCTGCCAGTTCGACGATATTGCTGCATGGTGACCAGGTAAGCTAGGGGATTTCCATTCCGTTACGCCACTTTATGCCTCCACACCTCAGGCGAACTTCAGATTCCCGAGGCTGGTGGCCAGACCACTAGCAGAGATGGGCTTTCGTGTATAGGGGCTATACGCTTGTCCACTCAGCTATGAAAGCTTATCCGTTGCTCGGCTAGCGTTGGAGCACTGGGATTCGAGGATTCAGGGGCCTGCAAAACACAAGCAACACGTTGCTGCAGATATTCTGCAGGCAATTGCCATATGGGAACCCAATCCACGAGTACCGTGTGCACACAATACGAAGCCGGGATGCCTTGTCAGCTTGCCAAAGGCCGCCATGGCTGCAGCGGGTGTTAGGCCGGGCTGCACTTTTCACAGGAGGGTATCCAGAGGTTCACGTGGCGCGGAGTTCTCAGTTTCGCACCTAGAGTCGAAAGGAATTTCCCGTTCTCACGGAGGCCTGCAAGCCTGCATGGTGCCCTCATGCTGCCCACTATTTCGGGCTTAAGTTGCAAAGAAACTGCAGAACTGCAACGGCCCACAAACCTTGGCTTTAGGTTGTACGCAAAGTTCCATATGTCGGCTGCTATACGATGGGCGGGCTTCGAGTCTTAGTCGTTTGCATGAGCCAACACTCATTGCGCAGAAACGGCACACCTCGCTAGCTCCGGACATGGCTCACGTCACTTTTGGACCCAGGGCTGTGCCTTGGGAATGTTAAAGCTGGCGGAAACCTTAGGCGCTTTCGACATGACTGTTTGTTGGCTTAAGCACAGCACCCTTATCGGAACTGACATGCCTGTCAGATGTCCGTTCATCCAAGAGTCACCAAACACACCGGTGCCCCCCCTCTTTCGACATTCGACAACAGCTGGGGTCATCCCATTCATCGGTGAAGTCGTCCACTCTCCTGCCCAAGCTAGAGTGGAAACAAACGGCTGGGCTCAAAGCGAGCAGATGCACAAGGATGCGCAAGCCATGGGCGGGCAAGCCATGGGCGGGCAAGCCATGCACCCCCCATGAGCATCGACAAATGTGGGGGCATCGTTCTGGGTGTTTGCAAGGTTTCAATAGAAACAAACCACCAGGAGGGGGGGGGGGCTTGGGAGAGCAAACACAATACTCGCATAAGAGAGAGAGAGAGAGAGAGAGAGAAAGAGAGAGAGAGACAGAGAGGGAGAGAGAGAGAGAGAGAACGAACGAACGAACGATAGAGAGAGAGAGGGAGGGAGGGAGAGAGAGAGAGAGAGAGAGAGAGAGAGAGAGAGACACAGAGAGAGAGAGAGAGAGAGACCTTTTGGAATCTGCAGCTCCTGGAGCAGCGCTGGCAGCTCCACCGGCCATGGCAAAGCCGCTCCGCGGGTGTCCGGCAGCTGCGTGGCGGCTGCGTCGTTCGGACTGCGGTAGATGACCTGGAACCCAGTCCAAGGTTCCCGGGCAGTCTTTTGGTGGGAGGGAGGGCGGAGTACTGTTGAGGATTCATGTGGTTCATGGCAAAATGAGCAAAGGCTTCCGAGGATTTTCGGGGCAACTGCATCCTTTCGAGCCTTCGGCTTTTACTGTGCATCAATGCAAGTACCCTCGCAACCTCCAAGCGCACCTTGGATGGGCAGAAGCTTTGCAGATCAGGTCAAGATGGGCCCTCAAGCAGCCAAGGGGCCATCGGAAAGTACTCCGGCGCCTTACCTGGGTACACTGTTCCGGGAATGGGGGAGACCTGGAGCACTTCAAGAAGCTTTTGGGCCTTTTGGCAAGGCCGGACAGTTTGGGAATGTTGAGGGATAGTTGAGGACTTTGGGGCCACTTTGGGGGTTTGGGGACCAAGTGACCGAAGGGTGTCGTCGTGGTCATGCGGTCAGCGACCTTCCGGAGTTCTCCACCAATCGCAAACCCTGACCCCCGAGCCGGAATCCTGAAGTTCTTTACGGTTTGATACTGTGGGGCTTGGCATTCTGGAGTTCGGGAGTGCTTCGACGGGATGTGGATGCTTTCAGGCCCACTGAAGCGTCAGATCAAGGAGAATTCCAAAAGTCAGAAGCTTAAAAAGAAACAAAAACCGAGCCCGCCTGGGCTCTTGTTGCAAGCGCTGCCTCCCCTTCCGCCGGGGGCAGGGGCGGCGAGACCGGCGCGGAGACCATCTCCTCACATCTGAAGCCTGAACTTCCTGAATTGCCCTCAAAAGCCTCAAAACCGTCCTAACCCCTCAGCCTCGACCCATAACCCCAACAGGTCGGCTACGTAGGGTTTACTCCATCTGAGTCTGTGTGGACTTTCGTACAAGCATTTGGGTCAACAGAACTGGATACTGGGAGCTGCACAGTGACAGCCGCCAGGACCAAACCCCTCTAACGACTCGATTCCCTTCTAAACCCTCCTAAACTCCTAAGCTCCAGACACATGTCCCATCCTGTCCCTCCCCTTCACACCTCGGCGCTGGAAGATACACGGCTGAGGCCTGGCAGAATGTCTGGCTCTGTAGGGTTGTGGAGGCCTTGTTAAAAGGATTAATGAGGAATCTCGCCACGAGAAGTACCTACAGCAGATCCGATCCACCTGGCAACAACAGGATCGTCCAAGGGCTGTACAGTGACCATGAACCCGATCCCTGCTTAGATAGAAACGATTGGATATCAACTCCTCCATACTCGCGATGCTCGCATGTTGGGACGGGTTTAGCCATGGATGTCGACATGGGAAATGTGCGGATTCGCATCCTGGGAAAACGTGATTCGGGAAATAGGGAAACGCGGATTCGGGAAACCAAAAGCGAAGATTCCGGAAACTGGAAAATGTGGATCGGGAACTGAAACACATGGAGCTGGAAATCGCACGTCAGGGGAACTGGAAAAAGGGGATCTGGAAACCACAGAAGCGAGAAACTGCAATGAACTGCAGCAACTGTTGGGAATCCACAAAGAAAATAGTGCAAAGTGGCTAGCAGTCGGAAACCGCAGATTCTGCAAATTGCAACGCGCACAGACACACAGACACAAAGACACAGCGACACACAGAAACGCAAACACGCAGACACACAGACACGGAGACACAAAGAAACACAGACAAGGAGACACAGAGACACAGAGACACAGAGATACAGAGACACAGAGACACAGAGACACAGAGACACAGAGACACAGAGACACAGAGACACAGAGACACAGAGACACAGAGACACAGAGACACGGAGACACGGAGACACGGAGACACATTGACACAGAGACACACAGAGACACAGAGAGACACAGAGACACAGAGAGACACAGAGACACAGAGACACAGAGACACAGAGACACAGAGACACAGAGACACAGAGACACAGAGACACAGAGACACAGAGACACAGAGACACAGAGACACAGAGACACAGAGACACAGAGACACAGAGACACAGAGAGAGTGTGTGAGAGTAAGAGAGACAGACACACACACACACACACACCTCAGATTGAGTCAGAGCAACAGCAGAACGGGCGCGGAGAACAAAACACTCACCTGAACCCTTGCAAGGAACACAGAAGACCAATGCACAACTAGCAACAGCCTTAGTCATAGCAACAGCCCGACGGGCGCGGAGAAAGCAACACCCTTTGACCCTTGCATGTACACGCACACGCACACACGGCATCGTTAACATGGAAACCGTGATTTCAGCAAGTGAATATAAGCACGCAGTCGACAGCTTCAAGTCAATAAAGCTGGAAAGCGTGGCTTCTGTTTCCTGCCCCGGCTTGATTCTCCATTGTTGACTTGTCCTCCACCCCACCATCTACCTAAGTGTCATCTAGGAAGTAAAACTATACTACGTCGCCCACAAGGCGTGTCCTCCCTATCCCAACCCCTCCCCGGAAATTCGAAGGAGAAGTTTCCAAATTGGGCCCACCCGCTCCACCCCGTTTCCACGGCTTCAGTCCATCGAGCAGGTTGTTAGTTTCCTGAACGGCCAGTTCCCTGAATCGGCACCAGGCAGTTTCCCAAATCACGCGATTTCCTGAATCGAGCAGTTTTGAAAGTTTGCTGATTCGCTCAGCTTCCAGAACTTCAGAAACTCTGAATCGAAACAGCTAAGTTTTCGAGTTACGGGGCGTCCTGGCTTTAGAGACGGAGGCCATCCAACAGGCGAAACAGTACAGCTCCTTGCAAGCACCGAAAACCCAAAACCCGCCCTGCAAAAACAACCGCCAAATCGGGAGCGTGCCGGGACTCGAGACGGCCGGCGGCAGCGTGACCCCCGCATCCGGGCGGGGCGCTTCCTTGCAAAATGAGTGTGGGGCTTGGACAGGCTTCCGCCCCCGGGTTATTCAAGGTCCTTTGGGTTTGACATGGTTTGACTGTGTCCTTGTTGAGGAATTCGGCGTGTTTAGGCACGTTTGAGGCCCGAATTCCCGCTGCCTCAGTCGATCTGGGCCCCAAGATCCTCTCTTTACTATCCGTTCTCAATCTTGGCCCCATGTGGTCTTCACACAGAACAGCGTAAAACATGATACATCTGCCAAGCTTCACACTGGCTGGCACAGGTTGTAACTGTGGAGTTGTCCTCTGGGCCTTCGCCAGTGGAGAAAGCATACTTTTTGCACTTATCGGGACGCCTTACAAGCACCTATAGGCACCTCGAAGACCCGACAAGAGCCCCCTCAAGTTCCCCACCATCTTCGACTCTTCGACAACCACTTAAGGGCCTACTTCGTGCTCATCCGTGTTCCAGCATTGCATAGACAGATCATACGTGTCCGGCCCTCCACCTTGACTGTATCCGCCCCTCCTTGCATCCCCCCCCCACCCCAAAATCCAAAACCCTCACCGCCACATATATGCTCTGCCCCAAAACAACCAAAAAGCCTAAATCCAAAAATGCTGCAAAAACCAATAAACCTTGAGAAGTCCAAGCCCAACACCCTCAACCCCAAAACCTCAAACCTGAAACCCTAAAACCCTAAGACCCTAAAACAGGGGGCAGCGGGGGGCATGGAGGGCAGACGCGTGCACCGGGCACCGTGCTTCTGTTTTTGTCATTGTTGAAGGCTCGAATGGGCTCCCGCGTGCGGAGTTGAATTTGGAGTCAGAGGGTCACGGCCTTTCGAGTCTCCCCTTGCTGCTTGCAGCGACGTGCTGCCTTGTTGTTTTGTTGCAACAGGAGGGTCTCATGACGCTAAAGCAACAGGAGAAGCTCTCGTACACGATCGTATACTCTCTTGTACACTCAGCTTTCGGCCTTTCCCGCCCATCGCCGGGCAGTCGATGTTGCCCACACCACGCAGCTCGCAGGGAGCGCAAGAGGACTTGGTGGCGCCAGCCTGGTCCTCCACATACATGTTAAAGAAAGAAGATACTGCAACAGGTAGCGAACCTCAAACTGCAACGCCGGAACCAGCACAAAACCCGCAACGCTCAACAGCAAGCCACTCGGTAGGAGTCAAGCTTTGGGGGTTTGGGGCGACTCACAGCACAAAATTGCGAGTCCTTGTAGGTGATAAACATGCACCTGTCACATGTCGACATGAGACGACAGCTGCATCTCCCTTTCAAGGTTCCCACCCGACCCAGATTCCTGCCTTGGGCTGATTTAGGTTTCGTTTCTAAGCGCGGGCATGAGCGGATGCCTGGAGTTCGTCTGATCTCCACGACCGAAGCATGAGGTCTGGCTGTCCTTCAAGCAGAAATGGGCTTCGGAGAAGATTGGCTGGCTTTCTCAAGTGGTGCTGAAGGCTTGGGGTCGACTCTGGTGCAGCTCATACTCGTGCACGTTAGTCGATGCCGAGGTTAGGAACGTAGAGGTAGCACCGGCCCCCTGTCGAAGCGAAATCCCAAGATCGGCTTGAGCTTGGGGATTGACGCCAGAACATCCTGAACACATCATCCCTGACAAGCTGATGGAAGCCTGCTGCGAGAGAAAGTGCTGCCAAGTGGCCACCCCTGTAAAGTCGGTGCACGAGTATTGCGGCTGCATCACCTCTCAGGAAAATTAACAGCCGGATCCTATATTCATCGCGGCACATCAATCCCACCCCGGTCATCCTACAGAGGCGTCATCCTCCACTGTTTCTTTCAAATGGCAGACATGCGCCAGCAACAATATTGATCTTGCAGGATTTTGGGTTTGGCATCTGGCTTTGATTCTTGCACGGCAGCAACTGCGCAGCCCAGTCGCCCTCTTCTGGTGCAGGCAGGACATCTCGCACTCAACCACCTCGAAGGAAATGAAGGACATGAAGCGAGTGCGGGCAGGACTAGTGCGCAAAGACCTATCTGACGCCCTCGCGCCGTTTCGCCGATGCGCCGATGAAAATTTGAGCCGACCGATGACTCCAAACCGTCACCCTGAGCCTCAATGTCCAACTTAAGTGGAACATCGCTGGGGCATTTGTGCATGCCACTATAACGACAAAAAGGCCACAGTGCTGACTGCTTTGATGAAAACTGAATAAAAGCGAAGCCGCGAAGCTACGGAAATACAGACGAATCGACTATTGAAAATGTGAATGCTGAATTTGTTGATACTATGTGACCGGTGACAACTTTAGAAACTATTGGATTCATTAATGATCAGACTCCCAAATGAAGTTTCATGATATTCAATTCTCTATACTACTATACAAAAGACAATCGCATTCTTATCAGATCACGCAAAACAATGCGCAAAGACATGGCGATTGCTCCCAAACTGGCAGAACAATAGATATGTAGAGAGAGTGAGATAGATAGAGAAATAGATAGATGGACAGACAGTTAGATAGAAATACAGGTATATATTCTGTGCAATAGCAGGCCTGGACGTCACAAAGCTATTCTGGGCGAAACTGGGCCCACGAGCTTGCGGGAACTTCCTTAGTTGAAACTCTTCGGGGCTGGGTGTTCGAGGATATAATATGGTGCATCCACATGGCCTGGCTGCCACCCAACCAGGCACCGGAGTTCCAGCAGGGCAACTCCTCACCGTCCAGTTCACACGGCCTTGGCATAAGGCCGACTCAGAGACTTTTCGGTACAAGCTCTACAGACGCCCATAAGCCAAACATAGCCTTAGCCCTCGTAAAAACATCCGGCAATGGTCTGACGAATTAATGTCTCAGACGCTGGAACTTGGAGACCACTGCAAGTCGACAACAAGGGAGTTCCGCGAGCCAACGCGAATGCCCACATAAATAGAAAGCCGTCAAGCCCAAATGCCGACCTCCCAACCTCCCACCGACCCTCACACCCACACACAACTTCGGGAGCCAAGAGGAGCCGCGCCACATGCAGAAGGCCTTCTCCTTGGGCACAAGCGGCCGAGGATCGTGGCTGTGAAGCCGAACCCACATACCTTCGATTCCCACTCCATGCGCGAACAGATCTGGTTCCAGAAGTTTCGGTGCAATCACCTTACAGCTTTCCGGAGCCTAAAGCTTTCTAGAGCTTTCTAAAGCTTTTTGCTTCTGCTTACCGGTCTCGGATCTCGTGCAGGCATCAGGGGCTTCGCCCGTGAAAACTGAAAAGTGCGCTGCAGTTCGGTTTAGGATCACGGGAGTGAGGAACTTAGGGAACTTAGTTCCGGAAGAGTCCCAGGTGCAGTTGCGGTTCTCCACGGTGAGGCACCTTGAGAAGTAGGGAGCGGACTATGAAATGTAGACTTTGCACATGGTGCTCAGGCATGGCCGACTCTTCACTTGACAGTGTGCCTCCTCCGCTGCAAGTCTGCTTCATTGTCAGAACCAGCCAAAACAGGAAAACGTCATATATGGGGAGCAATCCCCATCATAGCACACTTCACCCCTTCGGGGTTTGTTCGGGTTTTGCGTGCAAACACAGAATGTTGGTGAAAGGTTTCGAGGCAACGTTCACAAAAGCGCTCTAAGCTGGAAATGCCACAAACAATGGGAAGGCGCAAAAACACAAAAACACAAAAAGCTGCCGACGAAAAAGCAAAGACCGTCAAGAAAAGCGCACATGGCACCAAGTAACCAAGAAAGACTGGTCCTGTGCTTAGAGACATTTACAAACATCACACATTCGCAACGCCAAACAAAACGAACATGACTGAACTGGCAGTACGACCTGCACTTTCACCCTCAGTGCCCTGTGCCCCTCAACAGGTTGGAGCCTGTTTTTGCTGGCGTGCTCCCCATCATCGCATGCGTGAGCTGGACCTTTCCTGGGGCGATGCTCAAAGGAATGCAATTTGGGGGCCACTGCAGCTTCAAAATTGTGCTTATTGGAGACCGCCGAGCTTCTCGAACTTTGTCGTGACGTGGTTCGTGCGAGCCACAAGGTACTCAGACGCCATCAAGTCCTTCCCAGATCTGCAAGGACCGACGGCTTCTCTGAATCTCGGAGTTTTCGCGCTCACGGCAAGCCTGTTGGGGTAACGCAATCTACCCCGGCAACAAAACAACGAACCTTTCAATTGTCGACCCTGCTTGGGAACTGCTGCCCAAACAGTCAACAGCATGCACTCAAGCCCCACAGGACGCAACACCCTTGCGTAAGCTAACAATGCCCCCGATTCCCCGTCCTCGTGTGGTTCCGGTAGCTTCTCGAGTTCTTCCGGCTTTAAGAATGGAGCACCATCTGAGATCGGGGTTGGCATTTCAAGGTTCATGATGTGAGGAAGCCACTAAAGGACAAGACGCAACTTGCTCGCTAAGGCAGTCCTTTTATTGGACGGTCTCAGACCCGTCGGTCAGAGGCTCAGAGGTTCCTAACGAACCCCTGTCACAACAAGGAACTCAGAAAGAGTGTGATCAGTGTGATCGTACCTCCCGTCGCTTGCGGGAGCACTCTATTCCCGTCGCCGCCACACGCCGCGCATTACAGGTTGCAGCGCCGATTCCCAGAAGAGTCTCGAGCACTCGTGTTGCCCAAAGATATCTTGAGAAGACTTGGTCGACGGAGTGAATGGCACAGAAGCGGCTTGGGCCGCCGCTGGCTGGTGCAAAGCCTTGGCCATTGGACCTCAGACCCAACCCACGGCCCGGGCCCAACTCAGTAGTCTCAGTCATCTCAGCAACGCCAATAATCCCCTCATTTTCTTGACAACGACATGCATGCCAAACTCACTCGTGCTCGTCGGTGGTCCCGGTGGTCCCGGTGGTCCCCTCAAAACCGCACGCTTGGGCGAGGCGCGTCTGCAGAGCGATGCCATGGGCCGTGTGCAGCACCCCGAGCGCGGACAGCAGCCTCGGCGCAGAGATTTGGATTTGGGGCTTTAAGCTTTAGGGGTTGGACCTCGGCAAGCCAGGCGCCCAGACACAAGGCTCAGGGTGGCAAGGGGTAAGGGTTAGGGGGTTTAGGGTCCAGGGCCAGGGCGTCGGGCTCAGGTTGTTGCAGGTCCCGGGTTTGGGATTCTCAGCACCATGGATTGGGGACATACAGTGGCGCAAAGTGGCAACATGTGGCAGCTACCTGCGGCAACACTCAACCTTCGGGCAGGGTGCAGATGGGCGCACAAGGGCGAAGTGATGATGCCACTACTTCCGCTTCAAGAGTGCAAGTGCAAATTGCTTAAAACAAGGAACATTGACTGTTTAGGTTGTCAGAACAGGAATGGGTACCCCCCCTAGACGATCGGGATCTGCAAGCGGGCGGTTTGCCGGGACCACGGGGGGAGTTGAGGTCCCGCTATAGGGGTCGGACAGCAACTGCTGGTGTTCTGGCTTTTTTTTTCCACAGCACACGTACGAAAAACCAAGGAATGACTCACCCCTCCTCACAGTCCAGCCTGCACTTCGTGAGTTGCGTGACTGACAGGGAGCACCACCATTTATGGATGGGGTGCACAGGTGTTTGGGTAGCGTAAACAGGCAACACCTTTAATCCCCTCCCCCAACCAGCTTGAACCCTTCATCTTTGGCCCTGGACTGGGTACTTTTTGAAGGCGACAGGTGTGTGAGAGCGGATGGGTGCAGGCCCCGCTTCCCCACCCCCGCACCCCTCCCTGCCCCTTAACGTCGGGGTGCCTTTGTGGCGTGGTGTTGCGGAGTTGAGGGTTTCGGGTTGAGCATTCTTGTCGCCCAAAGCCTGGAACCCCCAGGCCCCAGCTGGCAATCCAAATGCTGAGCCCCCCCTTTCCGGCAGCTGCGTTGGGCCAGGCCGAGGTGGGTCGCGTAGTGTTAAAATCAACATCTGCCGAGGCACTTCATTGTTCGGTGTACTTGCCCGTCATCAGCGGGAGTGTATTTACGTCTCACCCCGGGGCAGAAGAGACGGCTGCGGGGCCAACAAAAAATGTCTCAAGGGCTTCTGGCGGCTTCACTGGCTGAGAAGGCTAAATGTCAGCCGCTTGGTGCCAGTGACCAAGTGACCAAGTGACCCAGCCCGACCTTTTCCAGCAACAAGAAGCAAGCCCGCACTGGCAGGGGCGCTCCCCGCCTTCTGCACCGACTAACAGATCATTTTTGTTCCAAAGCATGACGGAAACATCCTGCTATCAAATCTACAACCCCGAAACACCTCGCAGAGGCCTTGGCAAAGAACGGGATACCTTCACGCCCTTCATGCTCTCATTCCTTCATGCCTTCGAGTTCAGCCCCATCTTCCAGGGGCTGGACCCCGGAACTGAAATTATTGACGACTGCCAAGAACATAATCCAGCACCCAATCGTGCCAATGATGTTAAAATTAGAATCACTGGTCGCCATGGCCCTTAGGACGTTCGGGAACACATTCCATACGGATCCTTCTGAACAAATTCTGGACATCATTGTGGCTCATTTCCCCATCCACATCTAAGGGCCAGCTAATAAACAGCACGCACATGTTGTTTGGAGATGGCATCAATCCAGCGAGTGGACGAACTCCGTGTTAAGAAAACAAAGATCGGCATCAGTCCAGCGAGCCTTCTTGGCGGCTGAAATAATGGACCAACTCCTTGGCGAATGACGTCAGTCGTTTATCAATATACAACAAGAAGTTGACAACTGGCCAGCTCGAGCCACAGCTTGAGCCCTCAAAACTGACAATGAAAAGTTCATTTCTTGTGGATACTATTTGCTGAATTTGTTGATGGCAAACTGTTCGGAGAAACGCAGAGCTCATGCCTTTTTGGTGCGAAGATGTGCCAAGGACGTGAGAAAAGGATTGAGTCTAGATTCTGTGCGAGTGATCCCGTTCTTCTTGCTCGCTCGGCTCTTGCTGGCCGATCGGTGTCCATGCACGGTAGCCGTGACTATCAGCTAAGAAGGGTGTCGACTTGCTAGGCTGGTGTGCGCTGTCAAAGATTGCAGGCTACCTGCAAGGGACTGCAAAGTACGAAAATGAACCAGATACAGTAACCAGGTAGTTACCTACCAGGTAACCCTAACAACACAATCGCACCCTTGAAATCTCCCTCTTAAACCTTGGCCAGGGCTCTTCGGCAGAAGGCCTCTCTTCAGGTTCTACCGCCGTAGAGCGCAAGAATATCTTCTGAACCTGTGAGCTGGAGAGGCCGAGAATGAGAGACCGAAGGCAAACAGAAGAAATACGAGTACTGACAGAGCCTGACAATGGCAGACTTCTTGCATCATCCGTGAAACTCCCGACAATTTGCGCGCGCACCTCTTTCCCCCCCTCTCCCCACCTCCCTGAGAAACCCCACAGGGGCCCCACCCGCTGGGACCCCTTTGTTGTCCCCCCTGAGATCCAAGGCTGAGTGGCTGCAGCAACGTGCATGTCCTACGGCGTGGGGGCACAAGCGTTCCCAACTCCAGAGATGTTCTTTCAATTTCAAGTTGTGTATATTTCCTGGAATGCGGAGCAGGTCGTTCAGTGTGTGGGCATTTTTCCACCACAAAGTCTTTTGCTGCAACAGAGCCTTTTCCGAACTTCCCAGACTTTAGAGTTTGGCAAAGCTAGGCCTTCTTGAACGGTTTTGCTGAGGCACATCTTCAGGCACATCGTCACCGAGTTTCAACCTCTTGCCAGAAGCGATGAAGATGATAATCTGCGTGGCAGTTTTTCCTGACATCGGGTTAGGAGCTGGGGAAAATCTAGAGGTTATCGATGCGAGGGCACCGAACTGTAAGCTTGCGAGACTGCTGGAACCTTGCTCACTGGTCAGTGCTCAAGACTTCAAGAGGGAGTCCACAAGAAGCCACAAAGACAAAATGCGCCATGGACAAACTGCGGCCTGCTGCCTTTCGTTCCCAAAGCTCAGAACCTTTGCATGCCCGGTCCTACAAACGGCAGCTCGCCAAGCAGAACCTGATAGAGCAACACGCCCACCGAATAGATGTCCGCCTTCTTGGTCAACCTGAGGATGCTAGGAATCCCGGAATCCCGCCGTTCCCAACTTGGCGGGTGAACAGCCGACGATGTCCCCAAAGGCAACTAAATCCAAAACCGGCACAATGTCTCTTACATTTCGACCGAAACCACGTTAAATATTCTAGCCACATTCCCTCGTTCCCGAATCTATCGGTCAGACTTTAAATCAGGGTGGCCAACTCTGACCCTGAATCTTGAACCACTGTCTTTAAACTGTAAGCCCGCAGGAATAGCCTTAGAGCCTTAGAGGCCTCAGCGTACAGTGATGCGATCGATGGCGAATCAGGCCCTGTACGGTCGACCCTTCCCCAACCAGATTCCCAAGGCCTCTTGTTTTCCATGCGAATCAGCTCCGGGGGCATATGTGAGACGGTGCCTTTGCAGAAACAGGACTGACATCTACCATCGACGGTTCGGGGTGCAGGGGCGTGTGGCAGGCCTGATGATAACGACAACTTGTGGGATCTCAAATACATTGCATCAACTGGTTGTGGCTCAAGACCACTGTTCAAGTCATGCAGTAGATACATCACACTGTCCAAATTCAAGCGCCCTCGGTCGTGACATTTACGCTGTGACCCAAGTAACTTCATGCAAAAACTAATATTTCACTTTGTTCACTTCGTTGTCCACTTTGTTCACTCGTTTTGGTACACTTGGTATGTTTACAGTAGCTGGAGACTGAACGGCCCATTCACGCTGGTGCCTTTTAGGCGGCTCACCCCGTATCATCCTGTACTAACAGACTGTCTCATGAAGGCAATAATGAACCTTGGCACATGGCCCGTGAACTGCGGCCCGTTCGATCATGTCGCCCATTCGGTACGCTAGTCAGCTTTACCGCGGGTACCTGTACAACAACGCAGAATCTTCCGCCCTCCAATCTTCATGAACCAAACGTCAAAAAAAAAAGAGCACCGATTGGTTGGCAGAGCTCACAGAAGCGAGCAAATGTCCAAATGCCGAGGTTCCAAGTTGGGAGGTCAGCAGCGTGGAGACCCCTCCAGGGCCACAGGGGTTGGGCTTCTGGGCTCTTGACTCATGTTCTGGGGCCGCTTGAAGGATTGGATTTTTGCCAGAAAGCCCCTCGGAACCTAGGTAGCCCGCACACAATGCACGTGGAAACTAATATGGTTGTCAGCCAAATGATATGTGATTGTTTGGACATCTACATCATATAAACCATGACAGCTGCTATTGCCCGCAGACATTCGGTCTTACGATGCAATCTCACTCTCGGAATGATGAAGAAACACTGAGTGAGTAAGATTACAATAAGGTTACAGTGTGGAGTCGTCATTTGGTGATTGGGCTGAATGTCACCCAACATGCCCAGGCCGCTTCTCCCAACCCTGTGAGCATCTTCTGCGCATGTGCTCTGCCCAAGGACAACAAACGCCGCGTGGAGATTTAAACCGAGCGAATTCCCAGAGCGTGTACGAGAGACGAGGAAGGAGAGGATGAGCTGGAGGAGGAAAAAAGATGAGAGCACCAGCAGGCTGCCCCTACCCAAGTAACTGTACAACCCCGCACAAAAGGAAAGGGACGATGAGAGCCCCTCTACGTGTTTTACAAGAGATTCAATGTGATCGTGGTTGCACTGATCTTGTCGTTTGCAAGGAGCGGGTATGGCTCTCATGTGGGATAGCAAGAAACCCGACCATGCATATCCGAAGAAGTTTTGAAGCACTCTCGCGTGTTGTGCTTCGATTCTCAGGCATTCTCAGTGATTTCTCTTTCGCAAGCTGCACTACGAGGCCTTCGTCCAGGACTCTGGCAAGTCCAAAGTCGCAAACCTGGAGACGTCGCATTGCAAGTAGAGCTTCGGGCTTCGCACTGCCAATGAGCCCAACGTTTTGCCCTTTCTTGAGGTCTGAGAAACTTCAGAAGATCCGCAATACAGGACAGCGAACCGCCTTAGGACCAGGCCCTGGTCCCTGATCAGCACTAAAAGGTTAAGGACAGCCTCACACGTGAAAAACTCGTGCCGATGAATTTGCACGCGCATGTACGTACATTTCCTGGTGGATATAGCTCGTGTTGTCTGCTCTCGTTTGCTTACTTCGTGCGTGTGCCTGGAGACTCGCGTCCTCTACTACACAAGAAAGTACGCTCGCAGAACACAACACCGCGGCTTGGAAAGTTCACAAAAGAAAGCTTTGGGCTTCATTGCAAGGACGTACAGTATTGCTTCTGGTGCTTCATGGTGTGAGCCCTCTCAAGCTCAACTCTCCAAGACCTGGATCGTCCCTCTAAACGCCGTCCTGAAAAGTTAAGTGTGCTGTAGTCACTGTGGTCATATCAACCGCTGAACTTTAATGCGATGGTTCTTATTGAAGATCCGGTTTCTCAACCCGCCTTGCACACAATGTCGAGATCTAGTGGGTCCACGTTCTCTCTCCTAGGACTGTTCAGGCATACAGAGCAAGAGATTCAGGCATGTCGGCTTCAGGGTGAATTCTTACCCCCTGCACAGAGCTGTGGTGGCAAGTGATTGGCACGGCATATGATTGCGTCCGTACAATGCACGAAGGCCCGAATGAGACACAGAAGGCCAGAGCACGTCTTGAGGAGAACGTTGTTCGACGTGAGATCCCCATGGATGATCTCCTGGGAATGCCTGGGTTGAACGCGCTGAAACTGTTTTGTGGGCTTAGGTAACTTCAGCAAATTCGGCCTTAAGGTCAAGACCACCGCCTTGCAACACAAACTGTGCTGTGCTTCGATGTGTCTTTGGCGCTCTTGGCTTGGATTGTTGGGACTATGCCTCCAAGCGGAAGTTTGAAAGTTAGAACCAAGGATAGTGGCAACAACTGGGGCATACAATGCCACGGTGCAGGTACTCGCAACCCTTGCAGATGTCGCAGAGGATGTCCTTTGCATGCCTGCACAGGATCAATTGGTGGAGTTTATTGGGTTTTTTGTCTTTTGCTTGGTCCATTCTCTTGGTGTTTGCTGGGAAAACCTCCATTCCCTCTAGATCTTCATAGGGCTCTACTTTCGTAAGATTTCTTATTCATTTTGCTCTAATCCTTGTTGATTTTGGCTCTGTTCCTTGATTTCCCCTAAGAAAAGTTGTATTCCCTTCATATATCTAATCGGATACTTTTCATATCATGTCTTAGGAAATCATGCAAATCGTCGATGAACTTTGCTCGAATCCTCATTACCTTTGAGTTTTTTCCTTGGGTTTCCCTAAAATACCTCTTCTCCCTATATTTTTGAATAGGACCCTCTATGTTTCATAGGAATCATACTACTTCTTCATAGGATTTCAGTTTATTTTCAAGCACCATGATCGCATGATGGATTGCAAGCTTGCCTGGCTTAGAAAATTAGGGCTGGGCGCACCCCATTTGCAAACACAATGCTCGCATCATGGGTTTTAAAAAGACACATATGCCTTGAAGCAAGATTGCACGGCGTAGAAAAGCTGGGGGGGTGGCCCCGTCTGCAAACACAATGCGCGCATGATGGGTTTCAAGAAGACTCATCTGCTTTGAAGCAAGCTTACACGACTCAAAAAAACGGGGGTTCGGGGGTTGGGGGGCACAGGCCCCCCCCCCCATTTGCAAACAAAATTCGTGTGGGGGTGCAGCCCCCCCCCCCCCCCAACACACAATGCTCAAACGATGGGTTCCGATTCTGTACGCAGAGCTCCGATTCCTGTTTTCCATAAGTAAGGGCTTGCCTCCCGGCTTGCACGGCTCAGAAAGGCGGGGCTCTCGCACGATGGGTTTCGAAAAGATTCATGTGGGAATCCGGACCCCCGAATTCTGAACCCTAAATCCTCAAACCCTAAGCCTTTTTCGAGGGGAGTGAGAGAGACACAGAAAAAACAGAGCTTCGAAGCAAGTACTTGTGTTTGTTCAATTCATGGTTCTTTTCTTTCATTCTTTATGATCTGCCACTCACTGCTTCTCTAGTCCTCTCCTTTCTTCATGCATTCACTCATGAATTCCTTCATTCATTCACTCATCGCTACTTCAGTCATTCACTCGTTCACTCATGTCATTCATGTAATTTCATTCATTTCATTCATTTCATTCATATTTCATTCATATTTCATTCATATTTCATTCATATTTCATTCATATTTCATTCATATTTCATTCATATTTCATTCATATTTCATTCATATTTCATTCATATTCATTCATATTTCATTCATATTTCATTCATATTTCATTCATATTTCATTCATATTTCATTCATATTTCATTCATATTTCATTCATAGTTCATTCATAGTTCATTCATATTCCATTCATTTTTCATTCATTTTTCATTCATTTCATTCATGTCTTTCATGTCATTTCATTTCATTTCGTTTCCATTCCATTCCACATTCCACATCCCACATCCCACACCCCACATTCCACATCCCACATTCCACATTCCACATTCCACATTCCACAATCCACAATCCCACATTCCATTCCATTCCGTTCCTTTTTCGTTCTCTCAAAATAACACACAAAGGACCCAACCAAAATAGGCCCTCCGATCAGAACGGATCGGGACAGTCTTAGCAAAACAATAGAACACGAAGCATGTGTCCGGTAAAATCCGTCGACTAGAGGCCCTGCGAAGCTGGATGGGAACTTGATGGTAGCAGTAGGGTTCCTATGATTAGAATCCCCAACGAGACGCCTCCATGGATACACGCACCAATATGAATAAGGAACGTTATTTGCACTCTCACCAGTCACAACAATATCAACCGTAATATGTGAACACCAAGCCTAGAAAACCAGCTTCTCTCAGAAAAAGAATCAACTGAGACATTCAGGTCGGGCTGCAAACTTGAAATGGTTTCCAAAAGGCTGGTATTGTAACAAGCCCTGACGGTGATGTGGCCTCAGGCCCAACCCAGAAGTGCGCGGGACATCGCAGAAGCTGCACAGCGTCCCGCGGTCGCACCACTCCTCCCAAGAGTCCCGGGCGCTTAGAGTACGGGATCCGGATTCAACATGATGACCTACGGCACCTTCTTCACGACGCACAAACATGCATGATGATCCACATTCCTTGTCTATAACTGGTCACCTTGCTTGGCTGACTATGAAGATCACATTTGGCTTGGCTGGACGAGGGCGGAACCTTGGCATGATGTCAATAATAACAATAATACGACTAATAATGACTAGTAATAATAAAAGTAATAATAGTAGCAATAATCGTAGTAGTCGCAACAGTTATTCTTAATAGTCATAGTCATAATCATAGTAATAGAAATCGTCATGGTAATAGTGATAGTAATAGCACGGAGAATAGTAATAGTAATGGTAATAGTAATAATAATAGCAAGAACAAGAGTACTAGTGATAGAAATAGTAATACTAATAGTAATAGCTATAATGAAAATGGCGCAGTAGTAATAATATTAGACGCAAAAGTACTAGTCATAGTATTAGTAATAATAATTGTAATAGTAGTGGTAATAAAAAGAATAGTAATAATAATACTAATAATAATAGTAATGGTAGTAGTAATAGTAATAGTGATGATAATAATAATATAAAAAGAAATAATAATAGTAATAGAAATAATGATAGCAATAGTAATAAGAAAAAAGTATAAGTAGTAGTAGTAGTAATAGCAATCGTAATAATAATAGCAATAGTAATAGTAATAGTAATATCAATAACAATAATAGTAACAGTAACAGTAACAATAATAATACCAATAATGATAGTACTAATAATAATCGTAGCAATTATAATAGTAATAGTAAATAACAGAAATAATAATAATAATTGTAATAATTTTTATAATGGTAATAGTAAAAGAAAAATACTAGTAATATAATAGTAATAAATAGTAAAAATAATAGCAATAGTAATAGTAATAATAATCGTAAAAGTAATAGTAATAGTAATAGTACAAAATAATTAATATGAATAGTAATAGTAATAGTAACAGTAATGCTAATAGTAATAAGAATGATAATACTAATAATCATAATAGTGATAGCAAAGTAATAGTAAAAGTAATAGTACTAGCAATAGTATAGTAAACAATAATAGTAATAGTACTTGTAATAATAATAATAGGAATAGTAATAGTAATAGTAATCGTAATAGTAATAGTAATAATAATAGTAATAGTAATAGTTATAATAATAGTAATACTAATAATAATAATCGTAATAGTAATAGTAATAGTAATAGTAATAGTAATAGTAATAGTAATAGTAATAGTAATAGTAATAGCAATAGTAATAGTAATAGACATAATAATAGTAATAATAATAGTAATAATGATCGTAATAGTAATTGTCGTAGTAGTAGTAATAATAATAATAACAATAGTAATAGAAATAATGTAGAAATAGTAATAGAATAATAATAGTATGTGAGCTGACACGAGTGCACGTGCATCTTCTGCTCTGTGATGCATTAGGACTCAGCAGACCTCCATGACTCCATGCAAGTTTCAATTTTGTAATTCGTTTCAATGCCAATATTTTGGCTCAAGTGTGGAGCTGGACTTGCGCCTTTGCGCACGGTAGTTTCGCGCAGTAGCTTTAAGGTTGCTGCGTGGTCCGACCGGACGCCAGGCCGTAGGTTCACCGAGAGCTTGGGCCCACGAAGTCACAAGCAGCGTGACCGCCTGCGTTTGCTTCTGTTTGTCGCAAGACCAGGCTGGTCGACTTCACAATTGGGCGCTGTTCTGGGAACGTCGTTCAGCTCTTGCGCCTACGGCCCGTTGTGGGGCAAGCATTGCTTGTCCGTCGCGGTCCGTGTCCAGGACGCGTGGACTGTGATCCACGCTTGCGGCCCGAGACCCAAGGTGCGGCACGCTGCCGTGTGTTGCAGCCATGTCGGCTGAGGTATCAGGTCACCCTGAAGGTGTTACCCTTGAAGCCATCGAGAAGGGCGATGCGCCCTACCCTGAGCGCATGAGCTACGTTGCTTGGCTTGAGTGGCGTGGGCCAGTGTCCAAGCGTGATGGCAGGAAGCTGCGCTCTGGCGTAAGGTGATGGCGTGCCTGCACGATGTAGGAGAGGAAGAGGAGGAGTCAAGTTCGCCACACTGGACAACGAACCAGGTGGAGATCAAAACCGCACAGTCGTTCCGGTGCTCGACCGCAAGGTCGAATGTATTCTCGACGGCTGCGCAGGCGCTAATCACATCACCGAAGAACTCGTTGTCGGGATGATGAACCGAGCAGCGGAGATGGGGATCGGCATCGAAGACCCCAGGTTCCCAGTCGTTCGGCTGGAAAGGCGGGTGCATCCCAAGTTCCCGTGCTTGAAGGGAGCGGTCGTGCTGCGGGTCACACAGGCCGAACACCGAGATCTTTGTCCGGCGCAAGATTGCAGCCAGAGGCACTTCGGACTGGCATGCGGCAGAGCGTTGGACTGCGCCGGGAGAGGGTCGCCGGCACGACCGTCACCTTGCTCCGCGCACGGCGTTGTGGTTCGTCAGCCGCGCGGTCCTGAACCGACTTGCTCACCTCAGGTTCGGGAACACCGCGGCCCACAAGGTGCGATTAGTCCAGTTGGTGGACTCCGAGGCCACTTTCGGCTGCGGGGAAAGGTGGCTTTGGGACTGAGCAACGGGGAAAACTGTTTTTCTCAGCTGGCTGCTAAAATTCGTGCTTGCTTTCAAGGGCTTGCGGGTCGTGTCCAGGCCACAGCCCTCGCTGTACCCAGCGCGAGCGCGTCCGCCAAGAACCTGCCCACCTCGTCAGTCGTGGTAGCAATGGGCTCGTCTGCCAAGACCCCGAACCGCCGCAACCAAGGCCCTTTCCAAGGGAGCAACCGCGTGCATCATTGCGGGCGTAAGCCAACGCCAAATGACAAAACGCCAATGGCAGACGCTGAAGCGCCTGGCAGTTGCAGGCGCTGATGTGCGTCTTGCTTGCGGCACTTCGGCGCGCGACGCATATGCCCAAGACGGTCAGCGGGGCCAGGGCGGGGGCCGGCATCTCCGGCCTCCATCACGCTAAAGCCCTTTGTCACCTGCGGCCGGGCGGCGCGGCGCTTGTAGTTGGTAGCTTGAACTTTACTACCAGCTCGAAAGCAACGTCGGAGCGCGGCTCGAACTCGCGAAGTCGCACGACGCGGTCGTGGCCTGCGTGGAGGAATTTCGAGAGGGTCGCAGCAGAGGCCATCTCCCTCGACGAGGCGGCCGCAAGGCGCCCAGCGCTGCAGAAGAGTAGTAGCAGCCAGGATCAGGCTGCTCCACGTGCAGCCGCAGCTTCACAGACGGTCCCCGCCGGGATCGAGTGAGCTGCGGCCTTCGGGCGCGGTGTGGTATCTGCGACGCCACAGGATTCGAGCCGAGTTGCAGCACGGCACGCTGCTTCTCCTGTCTTCACCTTACTTTTGCTTGGGAGTTGCCGTAGTAGTGTAGCTCTGGTAGGTGCGTAGCCGTAGCTTTGCTCGTGTACCATAGTTTTCGAGTCTGCCAGGCTCAGTGCGCAGGAGCCTCGACTTCGGTCGTGCCAAAAGACCGGAGACCGCCTGGTTTAGGCTGGTTTAGGATGGTTGCTCGTAGGGGTGGTCTCGTCTCGCGTGTCAACGTTTGCGGGCTTGTCACCGGAGCCTCGGCTGAGGGGCGAATGTGAGGTGACGCGAGTGCACGTGCATCTTCTGCTCTGTGATGCATTAGGACTCAGCAGACCTCCATGCTTTCAGTTGCATGTTTCAGTTTTGTAATTCGTTTCAATGCCAATATTTTGGCTCAAGTATGGAGCTAGACTTGTGCCTTGCGCACGGTAGTTTCGCGCAGTAGCTTTAAGGTTGCTGTCCAACCGGACGCCAGGCCGTAGGTTCACCGAAAAGCTTGGACCCACGAAGTCAAAAGCAGCGTGACCGCCTGTGTTTGCTTCTGTTTGTTGCAAGACTTCGCAAGTAATAGTAATGGTACTAGTAATAGTAATTGTAATCGTAATAGTAATGGTAATAGTCATAGGAGTAGTAATAGTAATAGTAATAGTAATAGTAATAGTAATAGTAATAGTAATAGTAATAGTAATAGTAATAGTAATAGTAATAGAAATAGTAATAGTAATAACAATAGTAATAGTAATAGTAATAGTAATAGTAATAGTAATAATGATTAATAGTAATAGTAATAGTAATAGTAATAGTAATAGTAATAATGATAATGATAGTGATCGTAATAGTAATAATAATAATCATACTAAGAGTAATATTTATGGTGATAGTAATGGTAATAGTAATACTAGTAGTAATAGTAATAAACATAATAGAAAAGTAATAGCAATCGCAATAGTAATAGTAATAGTATTAATAATAGTAATAGTACTAGTAACAGTGATAGTAATAGTAAGAGCAAGAGTAATATTAATTTTAATCACGATAATAATAAGAAGACGAAGAATAAGAATAAGAATAAGCGTAAGAATAAGAATACGAATAAGAACAAGAATCAGAATAAGAGCAAGAGCCATGGGGGAGGTAGTTTCCTCTCTCAAAAGGCCTAGACTTGCGCCTGCACTGCAAAGCTGATTCAACTTCAGTGCTATCTCCATCCGTCGTTCTCACGATATTTCACGTCAGTGACGGTGATCACTGAGATAGAGGAAGACTACATGTTGTCCGAAACTGTTCCTCCGTGCCTTTGTTGCTCAGTCAAGCCATGCCAACTAAATGACATGCCTTCTTGACCTTCTTGATGCTCTTTTCTCTGTGTTTAAGTGCAGGCCCAACTACTGGCGTGACCCAGCAGGGTAAGTGGATGTGCAACTTCTCCTATCCAACACATGACTCACACAAAACCGGAGTTTGTGCACGCACAAGCAACGGAACTGATACATGTCCGACTGAGCTTAACGTTTGGGCAGTGCAGCTCCTACCACTGCTACTGCTCTAATGACTAATGTTCTTAGTCCTGACGTTGTGACTATGATTGGGCACAGGGCAGCAAGCACCATATTACATGACTAGACCGATCAAAAGCGAGTGCACTTGGACAAACGGTCAATGTCACGTGACGGCCCTTGCAGAACATGCGACCGGTGTCCCCACGTCTCACATCACGTCCTGTGACGTCCCATGCGTCTGCATCCCGCCCCGCCAGGCGCCACGTCCCCTGCTTCCCTCGCGTCCCGCCCCGCTGATAGCATCACTGCGTCCATGGCAGAGGATAGGTACGTCCGCGCTACTCCTTGGGATGCAAGGGAATGCATCCATGATCCGGTATAAAAATATCCACGTGTCAGTTGTAAGAATGTATCCAGTATCCGGGATATTTTCGTCCACCTACCAGCGCATGCATGTTGCCCCTGCACCTATAGTCCCGGATAATTGCGCACACTTATGACATCCCTAGTCCAAAAAAGATACATTCGAAAATACCAGCCCAGCAAAATTCTTAAATCTGCGCATGGCCATCTCGAGAATGCATCCCTTCCATGATGCACAATGAACATGAACGTGCTCTTGATCATGATCACGATCGTGATGACGCAAGCCATTTCTGCACCAAGGTCGTGGGCCATTGCCTGGACGATCCAGATCTCTTTCCAAGACCTCTTGCCATGCACCTCCAGAAAGATTGGGTTGAGCCTACTTTCGGTGGATTGTTTAGGGATTGGGTTTAGGCGGTTTAGGCAAGTAAAGCAGATCAGGCTGCCAGGCTTGTGCTCTATGTTTTGCTGTGGGACTTTAGCTGCTTAGCTTTCGGCATCCAGCTAGCATTCTGCCTGGCCTCGGTCTCGCAGTTGCGAAGGAAGAAATCGAAGGCCTGAGCCATTTTTTTAGTGCCGTCGGAAGAAAGGATGACACACCCCAACAAACAAGAAGGACCAACCACAACACCCGAAAAACGCGAACGGGCTTTGGTATGTGCAAGGTCAAACACTATGAGACCTTGCCTTGCCTACTTTTGACGGGGCGTTCGGGCTTGAACTCCCCATATTAGCGCACCCAGGCTTCTGTATGGAAAAGGAGGGCTTTTTCTGAAGAGTCGGACACTCAGGGGATAGACCCCTATATATATAGGGGTCTGTCTGAAACCGATAGGTACCTATACACAGGCACCTCCCACAGGCGCCTATGCATGGGGGGGCGTGCAATAGACCCCTATCGTTTTGGGATAAGTCCCTATGCCTAAACCCTCAACCCTAAAGACCCCTGAGCTAAGCCCTCAACCCTAAAAACCCCAAACGCTAAACCCTAACACAACCCTAAACCCTAAAAAAACCCTAAACCCTAGACCCTAAAAACCCTAAACCCTAACCCTAAAATCCCAAGCCCTAAACCCTAAAAAACCCTCTTAACCCCAAACCCGAAAAACCCCTGAACCCTAAACCCTCAAAAAACCATAAGCCTAAGCCCCAAAAAACCCTCATCCCTAAACCCAAAAAGAAACCCTAATCCCTAAAAAACCCTAAACCCTAAACGGCCCTAAATCCAGCCCTAAACCCCAAAAAACGCCCTCAACCCTTAAAAAAGACCTAAACCCTAAAAACCCTAAACCCTCAAAACCCCTGAACCCTAAACCCTAAAAACCCAAAACCCTACAAACCCCTAAACCCTAAAAGCCCTAAGCTTTGCACCCTAAGAACCCCTGAGCCCTAAACCCCAAAAACCCTAAACCCTGAAAACTCCTCAACTTCAAACCCCCGAAAACCCCCCCTAAAAACCCACCAGCTCCCCCCCCCCCCCAAACCCTCCCGCTTTATTCTGTTTCGAACCCATCACGCGAATGTTGTGTTTTCAAATGGGGGCAACCCTAAGACACCCTAAAGCCTCAAGCCCTCAACTCAACACAAACCTGAGTCCTAAACCGAAACAAACCCCTAAACCCCCGAAGCCCTCACACCCCAAGACCTACACCCTAAAAGGCTCTGAACCCTAGACCCTGAAAACCCCTAAACCCTAAACCCTAGAAACCCCGAAACCCTAAAGCAAACCTAAGCACTACACCCTAAAAACCCAAAAAAATCCTTGAACCCTATACCCGAAAAGCCCCAAAACCATAAATAACCCTAAACCCCGAACCCCTTTATAAAAACAAACTCTAAACCCTACACCCCAAATAAAAACCTAAACCCGAAACCCTGAAAGCACCTAAACCCTAAGCCCTAAAAACCCTAAGCCTAAACCCTAAAGCCCCTAAACCCCAAAATTCCCTGAGCTTTAAACCTACAAGCCCCTAAACTCTAAACCCAAAAAAACCCTAAACCGTCAAAACCCCTAAAAAAAAGCCCTAGCCCTAAACCCTAAAGAACCCTAAACCCTAAACACGACACGCATGGAGGTTATCAAGAACATAGATTGCTCCGAGGAGGTGTTTAGGGATGCAATGAAAAAGGCTTGAAGCTATACAAGAAGGATGGCATAGGGGTCTATAGGTTTCCGGATAGGGTCTAATAATATGAAGGCAATAGAGCCTATGGAACAATGCATAGGGGCCTATGCGACACAGGGGGGTGGTATAGGTAGGGATAGGGTCTATGCGTAAGGGACCGTAAGGGTCTATGGCAAAAGGGGTATAGGCAAGGGGACAGGGCCTATGCATAGGGGTCTGGTATGCTGAGAATAGGTTGGCAGCATAGGTACCTATCCGAAAACCCATAGGGACTATATAGGGGTCTATCGACGTCTAGCATAGACGGCTACCAAATGCGACCATCCTCCAAGATCGGAAGAGCGCTCGCAAAGAATGAAGCCGCTACTGCGGGCCTGTACGAGGTTCGGATGCACCATGCGGATGCACAGCTTGGCCTTCCAAGCTCTGGGTCTTTGATTTGTGTGTGTGTGTGTGCGTGCGTGTGTGCGTGTGTGCGTGTGTGCGTGTGTGCGTGTGTGCGTGTGTGTGTGTGTGTGTGTGTGTGCGTGCGTGCATGCGTGCGTGCGTGCGTTCGTGCGTGCGTGCGTGCGTGTGCGTGTGTGCGTGTGTGGACACCAGGGCTTGTCATATCGTGGAATGTACTTAGACTAGTCTAGATCATGTCGGAGTATGATTCCATTCCTATGTTCCTACATTATCGTGTTCCTGCAATATGGAATTACTACATTCCTTGCATTCTTACATTCTTACATTCTTACATTCTTACATTCTTACATTCTTACATTCTTACATTCCTTGCATTCTTACATTCTTACATTCTTACATTCTTACATTCTTACATTCTTACATTCTTACATTCTTACATTCTTACATTCTTTTTATTCTTACATTCTTACATTCTGACATTCTGACATGATGACACTATGACACTATGACATAATCTCAGTACTACGTGATCTGAGAATAGCAAAACGCTATTGCATTATCACCATGACATTCTTGCAAGATTACACTATTACAGTGCCACCACTGTGCCCCAATCTCGTGATACAAGTAACGGCTCGGAAGCCTGAAGCCTTAACCATGAACCACACCCACAAGCCAGCATGAAGCCGCACAGGCAAAAGCAGGAGCCGGCGCCACCTCCTTGACAGGGTTGATCCTCTTCAGCTGCCTTTCATCAGCAAAGAAGAGCATGCCCGAAGTTCTGGTCTACTCTTGTGGTTGCCCTACTCCGCTGTTTTCTCCTGTTTCAAGTCAATGCAGTCCCTGAGACAAGGCCGGGAAAACTCTGGGATTGAGCACAAGTCGTACCTCCAAAACAAACGCACCTACCTTTAGTATTGGCATTCGGCCAAGCAGCTCCCCTTCCCAGCTCATGATCTTCACGGCCGCTTTCTCGCCTTTGTAGCTGGCGGCGTAGACCTGCTGCACCGTAGCCCCTAAACCCTTCAGCACCACGGCATGATTCGGTGCCTGTTGGTTTATGTTGGTTTCTTGTTCAATGCTGGCTCCGGCATTCTCCTTCTTTGTCACTGACTTTCTCACGGGCCACCCATCACTACATCACAGAACATCCAAACTCCCCGGGGCGCTTGGGGAGCCTTACAGCCTTAGAGGGCCCCGCAAGAGACCCTGGAAGAGCCCTTCAGAAGCCCTGGGCCCTTCCATGCAAGCCTTCAGGCTACCACACCCCTCTCTGAAGCCGGCGCCTTGCCAAAGGATCCTTGACCAACGCAGTCGAACAGCTCCAACCCTTCCATATGGTCACCTGAAAGAACTTTCGGGGGCTTCAAGATGCTTCAAGGGCCTTGGAGGTTCTAACTTGCAGTGGCGGGAAAGCAAGTTGCAAATCGGATCATCGATGCCGACGGATTTGCTGAAGACCCTGGGTTGCCATAGAGTGTACATGAGATACATGAGTGCACCTTGCACACAGACTTTTCGAGCTCTTCGGGTTCCAGGCTTCAAAAGCTCCGGGCGTAGTGGCTAAAAGGCTGGTCCAAAGTTGTCGGACTATTGGGAGAAGTCTCTGAAAATGTGTATACTACAGATGCTTCGGGCACTATCTTACAGTGGTTATATGGTTACATGGTCCCTTCGTATTCTTCCTTACTGGGGAACCCGTGTATACCGCCTTATACCCTATAAAACATAAGGGAGGCAAGGGACAGTATTTCGGGGCCAGCAACATCCGAGCCACTGGATTTTTCGTCCGTCGAAGCGCTTGAGCCGCGTGAGCCCGGTAGCCTCCTAGGTCCAATTCCACGAAAAGGGTGTAGGGAATTTCAGGGCACGGAGGGGTCAGACACTCCAGTCTGAACACCCTCGACCAAACGGGCTCCTTTCATGGCTGCGATGTCTCATTACACTTTGGTCGACACCGACGCAGGAGTCTAAGGACTTCTCGAGCACAGAAAAGGATGGCGTACCAATATGTGGAAGAGCCCCTTGGAAACGTATGAGGGTGAAAGCCAAACATGCTGTTTTTTGCAGTGTGTCTGATTTTCGAGCCTCTGAGAAAAGCAGCTCGAGAGTTCGTTCTTTGGTCTGGTCACCATAGACGACAGAAGGCACAGCCGTACCCACGTGTACAATATCTGCAACAATGATGTTGTTCTCGCCTCTACAGTACTCTAGCTGATAATTGTGATCTAGCTGAATCTAGCTGTGTGAACATGGGGAATAAGTGGAAAGAGCTTGGCACATGTGACTTCTGTTTCACTGGAACGCATGTGTCAAGGCTCTGTCAACTCCTCAGCCCTTGAACCCCCCAAAAAAAGAAGAACACAAGCCAGCTTGCACTCAAAACTCTCAAAGCCCTTGAGCGAGCAGGGCCCTAATGTGATACCAGGCTTCGATTCAGGGGGACTCCTCGTGATGGACACCGAGCTTGAAAGCTCCTCAGTGCTTTGAGGGTGTTGTGAAGGTTCAAGGCCTGGTTGGTTCTTCCTTCGGTTCTGGAGTTATGAGGGCCATTGGGGCCTGGAGGGGCCAGGGTGCTCCGGTGCTCCCGAGCTGGACCACCAGCACTTCATCATCATGGCATATCATGGCAATATTTCCCATGAGAAGCCAGCAGTCCAGGCTGCAGTTGGCGGTTACAGCAGGAGTCTTCAAATCCATGCCACAAGTGACAAACACGCAAAAACAAATCCACAATCAGCTGCGGCATCCTGCTCCGACATGGTCATGATTGACGACAGTATGGCAACTTTCCTCAGTTGCCACAATGATCGCGCGTACACTGCAAGAGCGTTTATGAATTTCAGCAGCCATTGAAGCCGTGCATCCGCTGGAGGAAAACGATGCTACTGTGGCCAGAAAACAGGATGCCTTGGTTGCCCCTCCCTACACAACTTTCTTGAATGCTCTGATTTGCAAGCAGCGTAACCAGTGTTTGCCGAAAGCGCGAAAACTCCAAATAAAACCTTTAGGTTGGCGTCCGAAGCAGTCCAACCAATGGTTTGCAAAGACCCACATGCAACCGTTGACCAAAGCCAGCACCACATTTATGGTCACGCTCTTCCCGACATGCCGTATACCTTGGCCGGATACCACCAACTAGGATCATGACGACAGTGACGACAGCAGCTGCCCAGGACCTCCGTCAAAGCTTCTGAGCTTCACAGAGGTTTGCAGCGTGAGCAGAACTTAGCCCTAACATGTCTTGGCACTAAGGCAATTAGCCGGCGAAAACGCCAAACTGTATCATACGGTATGGACATGAAGGAGTCCCAGCTCCTCCCCGAGGGGCCCCAAACGTTCCTGATTCAGAAACTCCCCCGAACCTCCTGGAAATCCATTAGAAATCTTGAATCATTTGAACCATGGCAGTATGTGTCACCACGTTCCTCCGAGAAGCTTGTCGGATCGAACGCTCAACTCTCGCCGCACCACGTAACCAACCATAGATCCAGCAAAAGTGAACCTGGAGTGGAGGGATTGAGGTTCATGGCCTTGACCGAAGCTCGGCCCCTGACAAGCTGGAGCCACAACGACAAAGCCTTGCCTGCAGGCATACTAATTAGGCAGGTCTAGGACTATGGGAGCCAGCAAACAAAACTCAAGGATGTCTCCTCCCCATTTCCGATTACCAGCCCAGAAGCAGCAAGTGCAGATGCAAACTCGTTCGCACGAGCACCATGCCGCCAAACATTTGGAAGGCATGTACCAAGAGCATCCTGGGAGCAGGGCTACACTCGCAAGCCACTTCAAAGAAAACCGTACCTCCCATGAACTACAGAAGCACCATCCCACACCAGCAAAGGGATGAAAAGAATCACGAGGTGATCACATCGATATCGCACCATCATCCATCGTGCAAGCGGACTCTAGACATGCTGTCCGACTGTCCAATTCACATCAAAGACCTCCAAGACTCGCCATCTCCCCTACAAACGACGAGGCTCAAGATGCACCACTCGCCGAAGCCGAAGCACCAATGAGCAGACACGAGCCAGGCAGACAAAGAGTTAATCACCATACCAAGCCTCAGCATCGACATCAAGAGAAGGGCTTAATGCTTGAACTGCAGCACCACATTAACGATCCTCCACGAACGATTGTCCGAAACAGGCGCGTGGACCCCCGATAGACACACCACCCGAATCAACAAACATCGCGGCTTCATCGTGACCCCACGCCCCCGACAGTTTCTGTAGTGCCTTCGCTTAGGAAGAATTAATGGCCAAAGCGGTCAGGAATCCTAACCTTACCCCTTCCAGAGTTCTACACGCGCAGCGCCTGTTGCAACTTTGATGAGCTTGGGTTTCGGTGTTTACAGATGTTTACAGATGTTTACAGCACTTCCTTGGGACGCTTGCGGTTCGCACAAAAACCCGCTGTTTCTTGCCAAGGCGACCGGAGGATGCGGCGGCTCAGCTCACCTGATGACTTGATGCTTAGAACGGGACCAGAGATCGTGAGGAAGCTGCCAAGTTGCAATTCTCCAGGCAAAAGGCGGCGAAGTTGCAGGAAAAATAGCCCACACACCTGCCATGTTGAGGTGTTTGGGGCAAGATGTCAGTGATTGCAAGCCCTTCTGGGCGGAAAATGGCAATGCCACACTCCCAGCCCTGAAGCAAAACACTTTACCCGAAAACCTTGCTGCAGTCAAGGCACGTCGCTCTGAAAGCATAGGTCACTGAAATGTCTGTGGTGCACCTTGGAGTCTGCTTGGAGTGATTGACATGCACCTGCACGCCACCTAGTCTCCCAGACTTCAAACCAGTGCGACGACCCTTTTACCCTCTTCCTTCCATCAACAGAGGACGCGAACGCCAATAAGTTCCGGTCGCATTTCACCTCCTCCACTTGACAGTCTACTCAGGCCAAACCTGCTACCTGGTCGCTGAGGTCTCTTACCCCAAAGGCCGCTGGTGCGCGCAGGTGTACTCAAGACACTGGCAGGCTCGGCAAGGCATTTCAAACTGGACAAGCAGGGCTTCAGAAACCACACGAAAGCCCGGCCTCCACCCTAACCCTGAGGCCAAGATCCGCCAAGACTCGGGAACCCCAGAATGCAACATGAGGTAGAGGAAAACAAGCCCAGGTACATGACCTCGGGCTTTGAAAGTTCAGGTCTGGATGTAGGATTGCGCAGGTTGTTTGGGTTCCAAGCTGGGCAGGACTTGCAATGGAATGACTATGACTATGGGACCCTTCTGCAGTGCACATATGTCAATCTGTCTTCAAAACTCAAAGCGAACTTGCTTAGGACACACGTACTGCTCGGCCTCGTCACGGTACACAAGCAAACAGACGAAAAATTGCAAAGCCCTTTGGTCTGGGAATGTGCTGGCCCTGGACTTTCAAACATGTCCACGGGTGCCCCGTTTAAGCCAAACCACTTTGCACTTACGACTGCACATAGTATCCACAATCAACATTTCCGCTACACTTCAGCAAGCCACCAGCTTTTGCGAAGCATCATGTCCGGAACGCCTGCTTTCCGAACTCATCGGCTGCTTTCCGAACTCATGGCGCCATCAAGATGTTACAGACACCCGGCAAAGTTCCGTTACGTGCCATGGCAATTGACTTCGGGCCCGGCTGAGCCGGGCCTGTATCATCTACGGGCCGTATATGAGGACTGTGGTCTATAGCTGGATATTCACCTCCAGCAGCCTACTAATGATCCTTCTGCCAAAGGTTCCCTAAGAACAAAGCTGAGCAATCAGCGCAACCCACACCCACATTTGTGCCAACACAGCTGCGAACATCCTGACGCTCAACCGATTGGAATCCGAAGCCTGCTGATCAAAACACGAATTATGCAATCTAATTCTTTTTAGCACAAATGCAGGTCGATTTTTGTCAAATTGTTGAAACGGACACATCAAAAAACAAAATACCAAGCAATAAACATCGGCTGGCATTACGGGGGGAAGGCTGGAAATCAAAAACATATGCGAAAAAATCGGAAAAGGTCAAAAGGTAAACCAAGAACTCCAATTAAAGAAGGTAAAAACATGGGCTGACATGCCCGCGGGCCTGGAAAATGAATGAAATAATATATATATATATATACATACCAGATGAAGTAACTCTAGTGTATTTGTGATGTTCTTTGTACTAGTTTTCTCATGTTGCGCGCCGGTGGGCAGTCCAGCCTTTTCACGTTTATTGGACTGGTTTTGAATTCTGTTGATTTTGTTGTTTTTTATTTGCCTTTCATTTTCCGCCCCCCACGGAATTCTTCCCGAATGTTTTCGTTTTTGTTTGAGATTTGCGCGATTTTGGAGGTCAGTTGTCATCTAAGAAAATAACATATGACAAGAACGACCAGTCGAGCATATTTAGTCCAATAGGACCTGCCTTCCCTTGTGCATTCTCAGTTGGCCGAAAGGTTTTGCATCCCTGGAGCAACAAGGCCTAAGGATGGTGAATCATATGCAAGCTTTGAAGGTTGCAAGTCCCATGCAGAGTTGCAAGGTTGAAGAAAAGGCTACTGGGAGTTGCAAGTTGCAAGTCGAAAGTTGCAAGCTTTGCAAAGAGGTGGATGTGTGTTTTGTCTGTATGTCTGTCGGCTTTCAGGAAGGTGGACGTGTGGGTTGTACAAGTGGTGCAGTTGTGTTTGTGGACGTAGATGTTGGGCGTGTTGGTTTGCAGATGGGTGGGGGTGCGGGTGTTTGAGTGGTCCGGCTGCGTGTGTGGAGATGTGATGTGTGGAGATGTGGTGCGTGGCCAGGCACCAGCTGAAGACAGCAATCGTCTTCAAGGAAATATGTAATGCGTGCGCCCGTTTGTGCTTCGTTCTTTGCAAAAAGTTGGGAATTTAAAAGCCGAACCCGTCATGGTGAGTAGCCAACATACAAATACACGTCAGACACATCAAATCCAAACACAGCTGCAATGTGTCGAGCGCTCGCTTGTGTTTTGTCAAGGTTCTTGGACGTTGCCATCACGCCCAAGGTGGTCGAGCCTGCTGATTTTTCAATCGACTTCACAATTTCTTGGAAGACATTCAAAGTCTTCGCGAAGTGCTTTGCAATATTTACCTCTCTTGCGGGGAACTTGGGTGTGGGGTTTAGGGTTGACACGCAGTACTAGCAGCTACTAGCATGAACCCAGAGGACGAAACAATAGCGGAGTATGAGCAACGGCTGTCACCGAGCCCGGGACCAAGCTCCTAGCTGTCAGCCGAGGCATTGTTCAGCTGTTGAAACAGCCTAGCGCTGATCGAGCCATCGGGCGGTCATCTGCTACCGTTCTGCTGGCGCTGCGGAGGCCTGCTTCCGCGGGAGGGCTGTGTGAGGTTGCTGCCAGGGCGGTGTGCTCCGAGCCTGTGGAGGCCTTGAGCCTCCGAAGGGTTTTTCAATGCTTGCCCAGTCCTCTCCGGATAGGATGCGGGAAAACTCCAAGTTCACTACATGCGACGTTTCGTGGTTCACCATGGAGCCTTTCGGCCACATGTGCGCAGGGCACACTGGAAAAAAAGTCTGGCAGCCGTGACTAGAAAATGGTCTGGTGGAGCATCGCTTGCTGTCTCGGCGCAGCCATCATTGATTGGCCATGTGGGGGTAGAAGGGGGGTACGGGGTGGGTAGAGCCGGACACTTGCGTGGGGTCATCAAAAAGCTGAGTGTGAAATCGCTAAGCCCTGACGGCTTGTCAGCGCAGATACTGAAGGCTTCACTGGAAGCCCTAGGTGAACAGCTATTTCAAAAGACGTGGACTCCAACTTGGATCTTGAAACTTCGGGATGCGTGTCAGTGTGTGTGTGTGTGGAACACTATCAAGAAGGAATGGAACATCAAATCCACAGCGCCAATAACAGTCCCTGATTGTTGCAACTGTGTCTTGAGCATAAAAACTCGTGAAGCAATATTAGATGCGTCAGCTTGACTGCGCAGTCTTGTCAGCCAGCTTCCGGTGATCCCAGAGCAGGCACTTACACGGCACACCACTCATCACCACTCTACACAACATGACTGCCGTGACAGTGAGCATTCTGGAGTGGTTTTGCGCAGCATAGGTCCAATAGCAGTCTCCGGATGTGAACAATGTAAAAAACTGCGAGTCTAGCACTCAGACAATGAAAAGAACATCAGAGCACGCTTTCCTCGGCAACAATGGAGCCAGAGAGTACACCATCCGGAACTTGCCGAGAATCCATTGCACTCGAGTCAGACACCGTTGACAACATGCATCGGATTGGGCATTAACCCATGCCGGTACCGTAGCGAACGTACGTCGGCCTCCTCCGTGCTACTTGGATTCTTTGCCTAACGGCAAAATGGGGGTGCGAAGCACTCTCCCGCTATGTCTGTAGCCTCCGAGAAAAAACTGCGCAAGAAGCAGAACAGAGACCTTACAGTTGCAGAATCCATCAGTTGCAAAATCCATGAAACTCGACGTCTCAGCTGCAGTATAACAAAGGCTCGCACCTTCTTTCACTCATACCCTTGCGTTTGAGTCTATCCACTTGCTCTAGCACTGCCAGCTGGGCATATCACATCCAGCACCCAGGCTCAAACATTCAAAAGTCGAGCCCAGGGAATGCCAGCAAGAAAGAAACTCCCAGGCACTGTAAGCGGGAGGGCGGGAGGGAGCTGAAGAAGGGACTTGAGGTTTCATTCCAGCGGAGGTCGCCTTTACACATTCAAAGGCTCGCACCTTCTTTCACTCATACCCTTGCGTTTGAGTCTATCCACTTGCTCTAGCACTGCCAGCTGGGCATATCACATCCAGCACCCAGGCTCAAACATTCAAAAGTCGAGCCCAGGGAATGCCAGCAAGAAAGAAACTCCCACATCTCCCATCATCTCCATTGCAAGTGGAAACCTTAACAGCACCAAAGGGAATACCATACTTCGGTGGGGATCTTTTGCCGGGTCCACTGTACGGATTGTTCCAAGATAGCTGGAAAAGACACTGCAGCCTCCATGACATTCTCCCTGACGTGGACTGGAAGACTTGGATAAAATACTGACGACATCACTTCCTGGAGGTAAACCTCCATGACCCTGTGGGACATCCATCTCCCACGCCTTCTCACCAGCTCAGCATCCTCCGAGACCTGGAGCTGGTGGGTAGCTCCGCCGGGCCTAAACGATCCAAGGTCCAAAGGCCTTGCGTGATTCCTTGCCGTCGGTACGCCCAGCCTGTCAAGGATTGAATCGAATCTGCGCCTTAAAGTTTGCGACGACATCGGCCATAAACGTGAAGATGCTGGAAGTGATGCAAAGGCCATGTCAATGCATTTCACCAAATCCTCCTGGTCGACCTTTGCAGCCTGATGACGAGCTGCTCGAAAGCGCGTCTTTGGCTCAACGATCCTCAACAAAACGTAGGGGTTGGCAAAGAGGACGTCGCGTGGTAGGACTAGAGAGGCGCGCAGTGATCCCGTTGCCTCACCTATCCGAAGCAAGCCGCCCCACGCCAAGGCAAAAATGCCAGCTTCGAGCCTCCAACCCCAAAGCAAACTCAGCGAGAGCATCGAAAGCAAGATTACAGCCGGCATCGCGACATGGTGAGTGTGCGGCTCCAAAGACATCCACTGAAAAGCGAGGTCCCAGGCACCCTGAAGCTGACGCCTCAAACTCGGCCTTTTTGCTGCAATGGCGTTTATAGTCTCAGCATAATGCCAGTACGGTCTTCCTGCATCAAAAAGCTCACGGCCATATCGACAAAGGTATCCCACGATTGTCTCGGCAGGAGAAGCTTCAGTGGTTAGCAGGAACTGCAGAGATGATCCGATGACTCGAAGCCATGCATCAAAACCATGGAGCAGCTTATCCCTATTATTGGAGGTCCTGAGCAGAACCGGCCGACCCTCGGGAAGGGACCTTCCAGCGCGGCTGCCTTGCCTCTGCCTGTCCTGATGGTTTCTGGGGCTCAAGGGGCCCTCACCAGGGTAACCGAGCGAGCTGTCAAACTCGCGGCGCGGCGGCCGGGGGCCTTCCTGCAGAAACTTAGGGGCGTTAGGGCTCTTAAGGTCGGCGGGTTCGGGAAGAGAGTCTCTAAACCTAGAACCAACAGCCCTAAGGAGACAAGAACCCCTATCCCTTGAAACCTTAAAGCTGAGGAGCAAAGCAAGACGGAACCAGGCCCCAACAGGAGCGCTCAGCTTTGCAAGCTCAAGAAGGCTGGAAAGAAAAGTGTCGGAAGCAACTGCAACAAGCGAAAGGCCGGCGGCCTCACGGACGGTCCTGTCCCTCGTGGGATCGTCTGCAGTGTTTAAACGCGTAGGCGCGTGATGGTACCCCGCGTAAATGCCGCCCGCTACTTGCCAAGCCGCAGCTCGACACAAGACGGGCCTCAGAAGGTGGGATGAGCTCCGACCTTTTGCCAAGGCGCCTCGCGCGACTGCAGAATCCAGCAGGAGGTTCAGTTTAAGGTCTCCACCGTCTTGGACGACGGCATCCTTATGGCCTCGAGGGCGGCCTGGGTTTCAAGCACGTTTATGTGGGCAGAGCGGCGCCAAACCCAGGACCTTCCTAGGACCCATGAACCACTAACAAGCAAGTCGTTAATGGCGACATTTTCAAGACCTGTCTTGGGAGCCTCTGCGGGCGTGGGTCTGCTGAAGATGGCTTTGGCGAAAGTCTTTGCGACAGCACCGGCAAATTTGTCTTGGGACACGGCTGTGGCTTTTTCTAGTCCACCCTGGATACGAACGTGCTGGTGCTGTCCGGGGCACTTTCTTTGTATGAAGCTGATATCTATCAGGTTTCCAAGAAGAGCAAGTTCTTTCCTATAGGGTGTCCCAAACGCACAAAGCGAAGTCAAGGATTCACTTACCCCTTTAAAACCTAAAACCCAACTCCAGAAAGAGACCCGCCGCATCTTCGAGCGCCGAGGCTGCACAAGAAGGGCAGGCGTGCCAGTGCGGACGGCGACCAAGAAGATAATGAAACCAGCGAAGGCTAGCGAGTTTCCCTTTAGGGTTTTGGGATCTCTCCTGCAGTGTCCGAGGGGGACGTCGTACGACCGACATGTCGAACGAGCGGCGCACCTGAAAGTGGCGCAAGGAGGTTCCAGCAGGACCGACTTGAGCCTCCCATCCTGGAGGAGGAAACAAACCCATTCGACTACATGAATCTGGCTCAGATCGTATTGCTTTGACCTGGACAGGTCAATGACAGGGCCGGAGCAGAGGCCCCTTGAGCGGATGTGCTGTGTGACGCTGCCTGAGCCGCAGATTTGGAGGAAGTCGTAGGTGCAGGCCAACGGCTTCTTTATCCGCTGTGTTTCTGGCTGACACAAGGAAGTGCTGGAAGCAGCAAAGTCTAGGGCCTCATGGACTACCTCGGAGGTCGCGCCTGGGTGAGTGAGCCTTATGTGCCTGCCTTTTAGGTCGGAAGCCAACCAGCAATGCAAAGAAGCCTCGGGATCGACAGCTTTCCTGCAGTAGGCTCCTTTAGCTGTAGAGGCGTCGGTGCTGCAGATGAAATCCGCCGGGCTGGCTGAGGCATTCGTGCACATGACAGGCGCCAAAAGAGCTAACAACTGGAGCTCCCCTGCCACTTTTCTAGGAAGGAGCACAGCTGCACTACCCGCAGGGGCGTCCGGCATGGACTTGCCAAGAGCAAAGAGGCCGTCCAGGCAAGACATTAGACAGCGCCGATACAGCAAGCAAGAGACCCAGGACCCGGCCAACATGGAACAAAGCTCAGACGAGAGAAGAGGCCAGCAGGCGGCTCGGATAGACAGGGCAGCAAGGCCGAGCCTCTTCTTGGCCGGGCAGCCGATGGTCGTGAGGCCGTCTCGAACACACTCAACGCTGGAATCAATCTCGGCTCCTGCGACTTTGAAATGTCCCTTGCCCCAGATGTCTTTGTCGTCCGCGCCTGGTAGCTGTTCGGACGCATAGGCGGCCTTTGCGACTCGAAGCTTTGCCTCTGAAGCAGAAAGGCCGGAGCCTGGGAGGAAAGAGGCGCACTCTAGCGAAAGAGCGAAGAAATCGTCGATTATGAGTCCGTCCCACGGGCCGTGCGCATGGACAGTGTGTTTGCTCTGGAGACGGCCCCACTCAGAGTCGAGAAGCCCGAAGGTCTGGAGGAGCCCCTCGTGACCTGCTGTTGCATACTCGACCCCTCCGGCATCACCTTGAAGGAGAGCAAGGAAGGTGCCATGAACGGAAGAAGGAGGCCCCGCAAGGATGGACCTTGGACTGTCTCCTTCGAGACCATCACCTTTGAGCCTCCGTTTGCGTCTTTTCTGCAAGGCTTCTTTCAGGAGAAAAGCATCGTAAGCTGCGGTACCTGCAAGATCGCTGAGGTGAACAGCAGGGCCGATTGCGTTGCTGAGGCCCCGCTCTGCAGAGACACGGGCCTGCGAATAAAAGTCCCTACGGTCCGTCACAGACCCAACCAAGCAGGAGTGGAATGCAGGGACATGCACCATGCACAACTGGGGCCCCGTCGGCAAGAACCTCGAGGGACCTCGCAGGAAAGCCTCCTGGGAATTCATGCCCCTTCTATCCCCTATCTGTCGGAGCCGGCCGGGCGCTTTGAAGGCACCAAAAAGCCTGGTGAGGTTCCTTTCAGGCAGCGGCCCTCTGGTGACTCCGAGCAAACCGAAGCTATCCCAAAGCCTAAAAACCTTTACCAACTCACCCTTGGGGTTGGGGCATCGGTTCCAGGGAAAGACCGCAGGACCTCAGGCTCAAGATAAGGCATGAGGAGTTCGGGGCCAAGATGCTTGTCCAACGGCCACGAGCCAGAACCATGCAACGCGAGTTCAGATGCAACTATAGGTCTGTAGGGTTGAAGCTCCTCTCTGCCACAGTCCTGGTGAAGAATGCGCGCACCCACCGCGGCCTGGGCGGCATCCGTGGCGTAAGAGCCGGGACCGAAGCCTGCACTTCGAAGATAGGCGACGGCCTCTTCAAGCCGGGCTGCTGTGTGCAAGCCTCGGCGGCCAGCGAAGGCCGAGATGGTTTCGGCCTGCCGGCTACACGCTCGAACCAGCGCACCTATCCTCCCATAAGCTTGCGCTTGGACGGGGCTAGGTGGCCTCCTCAAGGCATCCAAGGGAACATGCTTGCAACCCGCGTGCAGAAAATTAAGACTCATGATCACGAAATGGGTACAACGACGCACGCAGAGCCTGCGGAACTCATCCTTGGACATCTTCCGGGCACGCTGCTGAAACAATCCTGGGAACGGCAGGGGCAGCGGAAAGAGAGCGGTTGCGGGTTCCAAAGTGGTGTCCCGCGCAAGGGTAAGAGTGCTCAAAATGAAATGTGCAAAAGATGTGCGGCCTCCACGGAGGAGGCGGGGCAAGGAGCTTACCCACGAACAAAAGGTGAATTCGTCACCGAGGTCCGGCAGGGGGACGGCCGGCTGGGTGTGAACTGAAGAAAGAGGAGGTGAAATGGGCTTGCTGCCTGGGGAAGACGCCCTTCCCTCCCTAACACAGGAAGGGGGAGCAGGCAGCGGTGACTCCACACATCCACCTACTTTGCCTTTGCGGCTGCCTTTTTCGCAGCCCACTGCGCGGCTCGCTGTTGCTTTCGGGAGAAGGCGGCCTCTCCGCTCTCTGGTTCTGTTGGTGAGTGAGGCGGCTTTGGAACCCGCGGTGCAGGGATGCTGGAAGGAACTGATGCTCTTCGCGACTGGATTGTCTCCAGCTCTTTCATGTACGCCAAGGCGATGGTCACCCACCGCTGTTCCGCTAATGCAGAGAAGCTCTGAAGGCTCGACCCGGGCAGGTTCGTAGGGGTCTGGAAAAGACCTGGCGGCGGTTCCCCCTGTAACGTGAGGAGCCACCCCAGGGTAGTGTCCCCTTTGTCCAAAGAGGACTGGTCCAACATGAGAAAGAGCAGACTCAACGTGTCGCGTGCTCCATCGACATTGTTGGCCTCCAGCAAGTCCAGGGCCTGGGCGATTTGCCAGGCCACCAAACCCAACGACATCTGTCCAGCGAATCCACCATGGCGCTCGAGGAAACGCATGAAGGAAACCTGGTCTGGAGCCAACAAGCCCGTGGGATCCATCTTTCGGCGCAAGTTCTCCCGCACCTTTGCCGCGAATTGCCCCGTGCGAGCCGCAAGCTCTTGCTGAAGTTTCGCTCTTCCCGCAGCTCCTCTGACTGACGCAGTCAGGCCCGGCGGGCCTTCCAAGAGAGGATCGGACGCTCCCTGAAGCTGCCCCACGAGCGCAACCAAAGCTTGGGATTGAGCCAGCACGGCTGTAGCTAGTGTGTCTGGCGGCTCTCCTGGCAGCTCTCCATCTCCAATGCACTTCGCCGCTTCGGCGTCCAAGTCGGTTTGAACGGGGCTGGCTCGAGCTTGCGCACGCACGGGAGGAGGAGGTCCTAACGCTGCTGCCAAGCTTTTCGGTCTGGCCTGAAAGGGGGGCAACTGGGACGACAAAGGCTGGCGAAGGGCTGCAAGCAACGGGGCACCTGGTTGTACCTGGGCTGGCACGCGCTGCACGGGGGGCCGTTGGTGGCCTGCCTCCATGGTGTCCATGCGGTCGGCCAGAGTGGTCATCAACCTTAGGATGGCTTCTTGCTGGCTTGCCAGCTGTTGCACTGTCGGGCGCTTTGGTTTGGGAGCCTTTGACCTCTGTGTCACGACCGGGGGCTCTCCACCTGAGATCGCAGTGGTGTAGCCCGACCTCTCTGCGGGCAGGGCGCCCTCTTCGGCCAGCCATTCCTTCGACAGCCTCAGGACCTCGGATGCGAGTGGGAAGACATTCGGCTCCCCGTCCCTGAAAGGAAACATATGCTCCGTTTGGATATCGGGCCTGCCAAGCTGCGCGGCCATACTTGCCGAGAGATCCAGCACGACAGCCAGAACGGTCTCGCTGTTTGTTGGAGACACCCAATCGCCTGTTTCGGAGAGACAAATGGGAGGCGCACTCACTAACAGTGATGGCCCAATGCCTTCGTGCTCTGTAGCCTGCTGGCCCTGCTCGAGGTCCTCCTGGGGCATGAAACCATCGGGTATGCAAAGTAGGAACCCATCCTGCCTCTTCATCACGACATAAGCGTGGCATGAGTAAGAGTCGACCCCCTGGCCCGGAGGCGGCCAGGCGAACTGCAAAAGCTCAATGTTTCCACCCTCTACTGACGACAGAGCAGCGAGCTCCATCTCAGCGAGGCAGGCCGGGCACTGGAAGGAAACAAAAGCAGCCTGAACCTGACGGACCTGGAAGCCTGAAGGAAGAAACCTCAGGCGGTGCAATGGGCACTCTGGCACGGCAGAAACCGAGGAGGCAGAAGCGACGGGGTGATGACCCCTAGAAGGAGAAGTGTGCGGCCGACAGAGAGGGACGCGGCGGGCGAGCTCACACAAGAGCGGGGCCCGAGTCCAGCGAGTGGTTCGGATGCAGCACTGCCCCTCCTAGGCCTTATTTGCAAACCTTTAATCTGCAAAGTCAAGTCCCAACCCTCCTGCTCAACCATCCAAATACCGAACCAACCTAGCCCGGCGATGCAAACCCTGAGGGCGGAGCGGCTCAGCAGCAGGTGGTGTTGGCTCGGGCAAACGCTGAAACAAGCTGAAAATCTTCACAGTAGCAATTGCTCCCAAGAAAACACCAAGAATCAAGCCAAGCAGGCCGGCTGCCAGAAGGGCCCCGGCACTACTGCTCTGACAGTAGAAGGGGCAGCCCAATCCCCAGAGGTTGCTGCGGGCGCCTTCTTGTGCCAGCCGTAATGCTCCGAGCAGCGCGTCCATGCACTACCCTCTAGCTCACAGCTGAAGAAGGGACTTGAGGTTTCATTCCAGCGGAGGTCGCCTTTACACATTCAAAGTAAACCAAAACCTCTGGTCTCTAGAAGCCGCCAGCGTCAAGCGTCAAACGATTCACACATATATAGAAGCCGCAAGGGTCAAACGATTCACAACACTATAGAACAACAAATATTCAGAAAACATACAAAAGCAAAATCAGAGACAAACAAAGAGCCAGAAAAGAGGTCAGGAAAAATTAGAAAAACAACGCAAACCAAATCAAAAACAGTTTTGCACTCAAAAAATATTTCAACAATATAAGCAACTACTACTGCTACTGCTACTGCTACTGCGACTGCTACTGCTACTGCGACTGCTACTGCTACTGCTACTGCAACTGCTACTGCTACTACTACGACTACTACTACTACTACGACTACGACTACGAGTACGACTACTCCTCCTCCTCCTCCCCTTCTACAACTACTGCGACGGTTGCTGCCAACCATGACCACTTCGACACCACTACCACTCCAACTTTGGCGGACGACCACTCCTGCGATGACAACACGACGGCTACACTACTACTGCCAATGGTGCTCCTGCAATGAGCGGCCCATTGCTGGGTTGACCGAGGGGCTCGATGGCTCCCCCGTGTCCATTGCGACGGTCCCCGGCTACTGACCTATCTCTAGCTTGCTCCTGCCTTGAGTCGCATGCGCTGCCGGCTGTGTTACTCCACGACTGATCTTCCGAGACATGCTTCCCAGTCATGAAACTTGAATGTGTGTCATGCTCTGAACACGCAAGATAGTCGACTGTTGGTGAAGTGTTGGTAACATGCCGACGCACAAGCCGCTCGACTGTTGGTGTGAAGCTGTTGTCCTGTTGCTTGTGTGAGATAACGCTGCTGTCATGTTCAAATACAAGCCGCTCGACTGCTGGTATGATGCTGTTGTCCTGCTGCTTGTGTGAGATAACGCTGTTGTCTTCACTGTTGTCTTGACTAAAGCCAACGCACTCACCCCTACCAAGCTCACGAACAAACGGCATGTCCGCATGACCAAAAAGCTGAAGGTGGTTGAGCGCGGTGCTGGAAATGTCGCTTACGGTCCTTAGTCCGTCCTTAGATTCGCCTTGGTCCCTGTCAATATGTCCGCGACTCGTCTGAAATTCACAGTCAACTACCTCATCAAGACATGAAACATCCAGCAATTCGGGGTTTTTCGGTTCAACACACACTCTCGCAGAGCTGCGATGACCTCGACTCGAAGTCGAACGATGAAAATCTCGACTTGAAGACGACTTCCGAGATCGACTTCGACGAAACTGTTCCGTTTTGGCGATCAAATCCCGCGGTTTCAGTGCCAAAGGATGGTCACTCCGGACTGACGCAAGCCAACTAACTGAAGCAAACATAGTCGGTCTCAGCGTTACGCCATGCTTCCGGACGGTAATTACGCCCTGCTGGTCGCACATTGCTCCATTCTGACAAAGCAAGTTGATGTTCAGCAAATTGTGCTTGATCTGATCGGAAATAACGGCTTCAAACCTAGCCTTACACATGTACACAGCACCACCCTCATGCTCAGAACTGCTCTTCAGCGATGCTGGCGTGGTGGTCTCAAAGCAAACTTCCACCAAAACATGCGTAGATCCGCCAATTTCAACGGAATCCCCTGTCGCAGTCTCCGCGTGCGACTTCGAGCGTCCTTCAAGCCAAGCAAGGACCTTCACGTGATCACTCTCAAGTGTCTCCTTCGTGATGATGTGGAACGAGCTACCAGAGTCAATCAGCCAATAAACTCGATCGTCCGAAGGAAAAGTAACTGCCTGATTCGTAAGCATCATCCCAAAGTGGTATCCCTCCAGAAAAGTCTTGACTGAAGACACTGCCTTTCCACTCCCTTTGGTCGTTGGCTGAGGGGTGGCCTTCGCTGCGGCGGAAGTCGACGACGACGAAGATGACGCCTCAGGTTGCGGTGTGGCTTGCTGGGAGGTGGCCGCTGCTGCTTTGTCCTTCGGAGGAGCCCAGCAGTCACGAGCCCAGTGTTCTGACTTGCCGCAATTTCTACAGATGTCCGTTTTCTTCGCCCCCGAGCTCTTGCTTCGTGCTCGGTCTCCTTTGCCTGCTCGGTCAGCTTTCTTGTCCAACTTCCCACCTTTCTCGCCTTTGTTCCCTTTTTCGCCTTTGTTGCCCTTGTTGCCCTTCTCGCCCTTGGGCTTGTCTCCTTTCCCGCCCTTGCCACCTTTGAAGGCATTGGCGTAGCTTGATGCTCCTTCTCGCTGAAAATCCATCACTCGAAGCTGTTCATCGTAAAACTGCAAACCAGTCAGTAGATTGGGGCAAAAGAAGGTACCGCTTCGCATCAGCATCTAGGTGCTTCATGAGACACAAAATGCCTTCCTGCTCGCCAATCAAGAGTTCCGGAAAACGAGAGGATACTTGAGACTCATACTTCAGAGCTCGTGGTGTACCATCGAGCAACGTCCAATGGCCTCTTCAAGTGCTTAGGTGGGACCAAGCTCAAAGCTTACTCTCTCAAAGCTTGTCCTTCAACCCTGGAGCGTACAAACAACTCGTTGTTCAAGCAAACTGCTTCACCTCTATCAAATGCACCAAATCTTGTCCACGCTGGAACTTGCTCATCGACTGACGCAGCAGAAACCAAAGCTTGGTAGAACGAGCCGCCTTCCCGGCTTCAAGCTTCACTGTAAAACTTCCACACGCTACTGATCGCTTCCTCAACTCCGTAGCATACCGGTCGTCAAGCAAACAAAGCCAGCTCGAAAGTTCTTCTCTGTAAGCTGTCCAGACTCTGCTCTGCATGCCTACTCGTCATGTGACGCATAATTCAGCTGTGGCAACTCTGCTCTTGTTCCTCCACGCTAGAGTCTACCTCCATATCCACTGCCAGATGCACTTGCAGGTGCCGTAGAACTCGCTGCAAACGAAGTTCTAGCTGCTGCTGCTGCAGCATTTGCAGCATTCGTGCGAGCCAGCTGAAGTGCCTGCGCTCAACATGGCACTCATCTGTGCAGCTGAGCTGCCTGCTGTCGAATCTGCTCATCCTGTGCTGACAGCATTGCTCTCGTCATCTCCATCTGTCGATCCACCGATTGTGGTTGTTTTGGAAGGCGCAAAGCCACGCAGACCACCAAGATTGCCTGCAGCAGCCTTGACGCCAAGTTGAAAGCATCAGCCGGGCCTGTTGCAGGTCATTTGCACAAACTGGCACCATGGATTTTGGGCTGGAGGTGGAAATTCCACGTTTGTCGCCATCTGGACGTAAGCAAATTCTCGTTCAGGGGGCAGTGCAGGTTGGAAGCGTTGTTGCAAAATGTCAAAGGAACGAGAATCTTTTACCAAGCCCCAAAAGCTGGAAACGGCTTTAGCTTTGTTGAGCATGGTGGACCTGAAACATGTTGCGGGCACCACTGCCTAGGAGAAACACACGGTGAAGTTTGTGCAGGTAAATCCGCCTACAAGCTGGAAACCCGTATTTCCGTTCAAGCCTACGCTTGCAATCGCGGGTATGACTATGGCTACAAATCATGGCTTTTCAAATCTGAGAAGTAAAGGTACAGCCAAGAAAGAGTGAACTTCTAGAGCTTGTGCTGGATGCCACTCTGGCTGCAACTTGTTTTGCTTTACCACATAGTGAAGGGCATTTATGAGGGGAACTCTGGCATATGCAGAAGGGTGAACCAACCCGGCAACATGAACCGGAAGCGTTGGAGGACAAAGCTTTACCACAGGCCTTAGAAAACGCGCCGCCTCCGCTTAAAAAGATTCCATTTCAAGAACAGCCTTGCTGCAAGGTTGCGTGTGCGTGTGGTCTAGCAGGACACATTCGTCGTGCACTGTTGGTACCAGCTTTGCCCAATTAGTTTGTGCAGGAGCACAGATGTTTTGGCATGTGTGGATTTGTAAACCGGCTTGTTAACATTGGCGTTGCTCCATGAAGGTTGCAGTTTCAGCAGTGTCTTGAACCCAAAGAAGACAATCAAAAATGCACCGCTGCGTGGCAAGGGTTGGTGGTGGGCCTGTACTTTATGGGACCATTCAGGCTGCCACTAAGCGGGATCAGTGGAAAAACTCTTGACTGGTGTGAGAGTCGTTTATGTTTCTAATCTGAGTGGACTCTTGCCTGGAAGCAAATCAAAGCAAATTCAAAACAACATGCCCTATGTAACAAATGCAAAAAAAAATCAAAATGCACATGCAACATTTTTGCAACATGTTTGCAAAAAAAAATGAATAATCTTTGGAGTTCTGGTTGTAAATGCATGTTTCCCAGCTTCAAGCCGCAAGTACGACGCAAGCAGAGGCTTTTTCAGTGTGCCAGGCCTTGCCCGAAGCTGTGGAGGCTTAAACACTGTGCAGACAAGGTTCCGCATCAAGGTTTGTACCGAGATGTCCAAGATATTCCAAGATGTCCAGAAGAAACTGCCTCCATCCTTTGGTAGCATCAAAAGCTGGAAAAGGATAGGAGCCTGGCCGCGGGCGGTTACCCAGGCCGGTGGCTTCACGATGGCGGCGCCGATCTTTGTTTGCTCAGGCGAATTGGGTTGGCCTGGGCGCACCACCAGGCGCACAATCAATGCGCAGTTATTTCAAATTTGGAACGATCGGGCCTGAAAGGTTTGCCAGTGCTTTTGCGGAAAAAGCGTTGGAAGATGATTTTGCAAGCTTGAACTTTCAATACCAGTCCATTTAAAATGGCAGTTCACTTAAAATTATTGTTTGTGCGAATGCTGTGCATTTGTTGTTCGGGGTCATGTCTGCGGTGTCTGCAGGTTTTGTGTGTTCATCCAGCAAGCAACCGTTGGCCCAAGGATAGCCGCTACATGCAAGACATGCCAAAGAATGTGTTGAGATTGGTTTGATCATTTGAGATGCAAGCACGGTTGTCAGCGTATAGTTTTATAAAACGCCACGGGTGTGTCTGTTAAACCCATAACGCGGGCACGTTTCCATGGATCTGGATTCATGGATGCCAGAACTTTGGATGTCATCGACAACGAAGGACAGCCATTAATCGTGCAATTGGAACTTGTGTTGCTAAGCTACACAAAGCGGTAGCTGCCTGTGATAGTCTTCCCTCCCGCGGTGCATTTGCAGGCTTCTTTCTGGCCGGCAGGCCGCGATGCTCCACACCCAGATGGTTACACCAGACGCAAAAGGCGAAGGCTTCAGGGGTGGATAAAAACATATGACCTCCTCTGGAGGAGGCGATTGCTTTTCGGGGTTGTGTTTGGAGCGGCTTGCCTGCCTTTCGAGTCTCTTTTGCGAAGCATGTTTGTTTGAGGTCAAGTGCTCTTTGCAAGTGCATTTGTGGCACAGGGAAGCAGGCCGGGGTTGCGCAAGCTGCACAGTTCGCGCAATAAGTGTTACATGCGGATGCATGAGCTCCAGTTCCGTCGAAACTTCCCATGTTTTATGACAGCTTGCATTCCCTTCGTGAAGTGGACACAGAAATCCTTCATGTGTGTGCAACGTAATTCTGTGCTTTGTATGTGCTTTTCCCGACACAGTTGCAGACATGTTTCGCAAGTTTTTGAAATGGTCGTTGGTGGTGAGGATCAGTTCGAGCTCCAACCGACGTTTAGCACAGCGACGGCCCCAGCAAGCATTCTCAAATTCCGATAAGGGGCAAATGACCGATGTGTTACAGTCGTGAATCTTGTTTTTTACACTTGACTTGTGGCTCTTTTCAGAGGTCCAAGTGCAGATTACAGCCGAAAGAGACGTCAGGAGACCGCAAACCCCATAACTCTTAGCCCGGCTCCAAACGACAAAGGTCACTACGTCAGGTTCTGTGACCATGTATGCCTACAGTGAATGCGCGTGGGATGGCGGCCTAGGCTTGGCGCTGCGTAATCATTTAGCCTCGTTAAGAGTGAGGTTTAGGTTATTGGTTTTTTGTGGTTTGTGAGCGCCCAAAGACGCCGAGGACTTCAATGTGGAGGCTCGGCTCATGGCTCTCATCAGTATAGAGCCTCAGTAGGGCTTCAGTAGGGCTTACGTGAAAGTGAGATTACGCGGTCAAGGGCACAGGGATGTGGTGTGTCCTTCAGCAACACAGGCACAGCTGCTGTGGAAACAGGCCTTGAAACCCAGAACCCAAATTTAGAGAAGGCTCGCCAAAGGTTTTCTTGAGCTTTGAAGCTGTTGGCCTGTCATGGCCTGTCACGCCTCTCAGTATTTCCAAGAAACCACTCAAAGCTCCAGAGCCCTCAAAGCGCAAGAGCAACATACAGCAATCTCAAACATGGGAACTATCATCGACCCATCACAACTGTCGGTGCTCAGCTCTATTTCAGAGTTTCTTTGAACTGTCTGCCTGCACCCCGCGCCATAGTACCGGATCCGAAAAGGCCTTGGGAGACACGGATGAGGTGCCTTTCTCGAGGTGGGCTTTGTGCAGTTTGGAGGTTTACCATCTACACCTGCGGTTAAGGTGCGGTTTAGGGTTTCCATTTAGGGTTTCGAGGTTTTGGGGTTCAAAGACGCTTTGAGGGGATTTTAATTTAAACTTTTCTGTTCAAGTCATACATAGACAAAGCTTGCAAAGATCCATGTTGAATGGCCTGGGCACAGATGTGCGCAGCACAGGGACAGGAATATTTGTTGGTTCACATCACTCGAAGTGCTGAAGCACGGCATCCGCGCTAGCCACGCTACCAAACCCGAACGCTGTAATGAGCCCTCAGAACGGGTCTATGAGGCCTCCGATGGCCGCGGGGCGACTGACATTCTCCATGCTTCAGCAGCCACTGCGCGGCACACCGTCGCTTGGGGGCAGTAGTACAGTAGCCTGCAAGTTTGTAAATTGAAGTAAACATTGTCGTGCACATTTGTTTGAGTTCGCTTTAGTTCCCATCCAAGCATTGTGCAAGCGGGTGTTATGGAGTTGGGGTCCCTAGCCAGCTGTTCGTGTCTCGCTTCAGACACCACCCCACATCGTGGCAACAATGCAACTGAACTGGCAATCTGTACGTCTGTCAAGAGTGTATTGCGTCTAAAAGGCCTTCAGACCACCCTACCGCCTTGGGTTCTGGCGACAACTCCATCCAAATCTAGCCCGAACCCAAGAAAGCACAAGGACCTAAGGAGCACCTGCCCTTTTCCCAGGATGCGCAAGGGCAAGCTGTGGTACCTTTCGTCGGAAGACCAGGCTGTTTGGAGGGTGAAGCTCGTTTCGTTTTGGGATTTTTTGGGCTCATTTTGGCACATTCAGCCTCTCTTTGACCATGACCCAAGCCTTCACAAAGATCTCCAAAGTTCAAGAAAACCAGGCCTGCGTTGGGATTTCAGGATTGTGGGTTTCCGGCGCTAAGACCGTCAAAGCCGTTAAGAACGCACGTGGCTGCTTGAAGGTTGACGCGGTGAACTTCTCTCTCTATGTCAATGGCTTCTCCTTCTGGCACGAAGGTTCAATTGCCGCACTTTGGAACCCTGAGCCCCACACCAACCTCCCTCAGTGGCAGGCACTCCACAAACTTTCTGGTTGAGTTCATTCAGTGCCATCTGAGTCTATCTGAGTGCTTGAGGCCCAGTACGACAAAGTTTGAGCTCCAAGAAGGATCAGATGAGCAACTTAAATCGCATGCAACGCGGCCAAGACAAACCATTTTTTCCCTATAGAAGGCTTCGAGGCCAGAGCCAGAAAGAAAGACGAGGCTCTTCTGGAATGTTGGAGCGTTGTAGTGTCGTACTCGTAAAGTCGAAGCTTCGCAACATCTTCGAGCCGACCTCAGCAACTACGAGAACAGCCATGAACAGCCATGGCTGTAGCCATGAAAGCAGCCATGAACAGCCCTTTCAGAATTCTGTGCGAAAGGTCGGGTTGGAGGCTTTTGGGCTGTTGGCGGTGTTGGGTTGCAGGAGCTTAGGGTCTTTGCGATGCCCAGGAAACGAGGTGGCCATCTCCCTCTCGCCCTTCGTGCTCGTCCGGAATTGCAAGTTCCAAAACGGCTGCGTGCCCTGCATTTGTGCAATGCCGACACCCGCGGGCCCCAGGAAGACCGACCCTTGAGAGCCCTGCAATTCCTAAAGCCCATGCATGGGGTCTAGCCATCTGGCCTCTGCTGTTCTCGTCACATCCCCGGAATTTGTTGACTTGCTTACCCAGAGCCTTGAGAACTTGGGACTTCTCGGGGTTAGGGGGTGTTTTTTCGGGCAGAAGGCTCTTAGACTCCACACTTACATCTGAGCTTCCCGGCCCAGGCTACAATGCAACCCTCTCGGTTTTGGCCTTAGAGTCCGGCAGTAGTCCAGAGCCGATTACACGTTGTAGTTTCCAGGAGTATGGTGGCCGCCACCGCTGCACAAAAACAAAGCTCACTGGAAGTCCAGCTTTTTTTTTGGCTTTCCTTCCAGTTGGAGCAAAGCGGAGCTCAAGTTCATGTGGAGGTGCCTAGCTTCGCAGCAGCACGAGACGAAAGGATGGCCATTTTGTCGAGGCGGAGTCTTGACAACCCCCTGCATGGCAGCAATAAATCTTGAGGGGCCAGGCGAAGACGGTTTTGGTCCAAACAAGAGCCTCGCAGTGTCACCCCCCACAAAAGCTCTAGCACCCGATGTCCAGAAAAAGAGCTTTCGGGCAGAGCTTCCGTGCAGCTGAGGATGTCAAGATTTTCAAAATCTCCTTGTTTGCGCGTCCTGGCTGGTAGCTAAACAAGACAGTCGGTGATGCAGCAGGTGTTTCGCGTTTTGGTTGTTGGGTTATAGCGCATGATGGCTCGCTGAACTCAGGCACAGCGCGTGCTACTACTTCGGAGTCCGGAGCACTGACGAGCGTTGGGCAGAGGAAGAGCGGTCAAGATGGGTGCTAGATGTTTCGCGGGCAGTGCGGCTTGTGACCAGGCTGCACTTGCAGATCACAGCGACAATATGAAATAAGATTGTCAGTCAAAGCTTGCCCTCAATCGCGCTGGCATGAGCCGTGACGAGTTCCATTCCGCACATTGCCGATAGCCGGTTTTCGCCCTTCCATAGTGAGGTGACGCAGAGCCTCTTCCCTCCCTATCGCATCAGCTGTGAGCCACAGCAGGTCCATGAAGGGGGGACAGTCCGGTGGCAGTCTAAGGTTTGGATTGCGAAAACCTTTCCAAAAAGGGAACACCGGCCACGCGCGCCTCCCCAAACCAATGTTACGTGCCCCTGCGAAGGGCGCCAAGCATACAGCGAGCCGTCTCATGGCCGGCTACGTGGTGCCTTGCTTGTCTTTTTGGGTTCTCAGAAAGGTGTTTGGGAATTGGATCACCGGTTCGCCTCTCTCATCCTGTTCAGAGCCCTTTGAAAGGGAGGGTGTGAAGCAAACGCAGGGTGCCGATGTTTTTGGAGTTTTGTAGGTAGCTCTGGTCAGTGCAGCATGCATCTCTAACTGAGGTGCACCATGATGATGCGGCTCCGCTTGAGTGTGTGTGTGTGTGTGTGTGTGTGATTTCGGGGGGTTTACGCGTGGACGAGGTCCAGCAAAAGAATATCAAGTTTTATTATGCTCTGTACCATCTATGCCTATGCCTTGCCCAAGCTTGGATTTCTGGCCTAGAATCTAGATTTGCCGCTGTTTCTGGCCCCATCTGAGGCGCCTTGACAACCACCTCGTATCCATTGCAAGTGTTGTTTCTCCAACAGTCACGTATGAGACAGGGCCTGCTGTACTTTTGTCAAGGCTAGCAGACAACCGCGGAAGCGGGCGGCGCATCAGCAGGTGTAGCTATTGCTTCTCCTGAAATGCGGCAGTTTCGGTCGCAGTTGGACAGTTCTTACTATCTCGGGAAGAACATGAGAAGGCCCAGTACTGCCAGTGAGGTGACAAAGGAGAAGCCCGAGGATCACACACCTGATACGTGAGACTTTACAACCATGAGACTTGCCGAGGTGCATCCCAGATGTGGGGGAAGTTGGGGCTTCAGCTGAGTCAGCTGAGGTGTCAACTGCATCCGTGGTCTATTGTGAGCTCCACGCGCACCAGGGGGACTTTGCCCGGGTGACCATGTATGAGAACGACCTCTGCCAGGCACTCTTGTGGGAATTGGAACTGCGTTCTTCAGCGATTTCAGGCTCCTCTGCTGTATGTGCCTGCCAGCAAAGCTTAGTCCGAAGGATGTTTCTTGGGAGCCCTTGAACCATCACCGCGAATTTTGAGTCTGGCAGAGAGGTGCCGGTGGCTGAGATCTGCATCCACGAGAGCGCCATGTGCTCGGAGAAGATCGGCATAAACTGCAGCTGCTTCAGCGTGGAGGCCGGAGGGAGGAAGAGCTCATTTTTGTGGCTTTTGTAGCAGGAGCTGCTTGACCTCTTCTCATCGAAACACCAAGCCCCAAGCCCGGTCCGCGAGGATCACCAGTTCTCCTCCAGAACCTTAGCAGAGCGAAAGCTCTGGCTCCGGGCCGCTCCACCAACACTGTTGAGATCACATGCAGTCCTGTCGGGGTTGGGAGGTTCAAGCGAAAGTTCAAGCGAGGCCGGTTTGGAGAGGACGCTTTCCAGAGTAGCTCTATATTCTCTGGGATGCCGGGATGCAGAGCATCGTGTATCCAAGTGCGAGGGTTTTTGGGTTTGGGGTTGGGGCAGATCAGGTTTAAAACCGTAGTGTACAATTTATCTGAAATGCAGTCCAGTTTGAGCTTACAGGACTTAGGAAATGCAAGGTGTTCAGGGCTGTGCTGCTGGTGCAGCATTGTTTAGGGCTCTGCGGGGGTTGCCTTGGAGCGCAGGCATACTTGTGACCCGTTGTGGCTTAGGGGCTCTCAACCCAGAACCCTAGTAAAGTCTAAAGCTTGGGTCTACTAGCGGCTTTATGCCGATGGCAACACATAGGGTTTAGGGTTTAGGGTTTAGGGCTTAGGGAAAGTTTAGCGTTGAAGTTGTGTGCTTAAATAATCCTAGACGGTGCAAACCCATTTCCTTGGAGCCGAGGCCATCTCCAACGTGAGGGCTCAATGCTCAGCTCCGGGGACTCGTTGAAGTAAGAAGGTTGTGATGTTCGCTCCGTTAGCATAGGTCCTGGGGCTTCCAGGGTTGAGTTTGTGACATTTTTTTGCTCCCCCAAAGTGGAGGAGCAAACGAACAATGCTGTGGACTCTCAGTGCGTGTCCTTGACACCTGAAGCCATCTGAGCTGTAGGCAATCTATGGGACGGCTTCCATCTCGATGGTTTCAGAGCAACAGCAGCAGCGGCGGCGGCGGCAGCGGCGGCAGCAGCAGCGGCGGCGGCGGCAGCGGCGGCGGCGGCGGCGGCAGCAGCAGCAGCAGCAGCAGCAGCAGCAGCAGCAGCAGCAGCAGCAGCAGCAGCAGCAGCAGCAGCAGCAGCAGCAGCAGCAGCAAGCGAAGAAGCAACAGCAAAGCAACATCGACATTGTCACAATCGTTATCATGTTCGTTGTCATTCATCGTTGGCGTCATCGAATCGAACAGTCGGGACTTCTTTGAGCCCCTCCCGAAGGTTCGTCAGTGTCCACCTCATGGCTGAAAGCGCCAAGCTGTCCAGAAGACCACTTGAAACCAGGTCAAACTGCAGAACCGTGCGCCGGATCCGACCGAGGCGTGTTTGGCTTGGCCTCGGTCTGGGGTCTAGGATCTTGGGGGAAACGTATAGAGTTGCAGGATCACGTGCCGCGAGTGTGTTGGTTGTCTGCGGCATCAAATGTTTTGTGGATTGGGAGTGCTGTTGCGTCGTTGCTTCCATCGCGGCCTGCATTTTTAGAGATATGGCCACGGTGTCTGTTGAAGATGTTGCGTGGTGCGACGCACGAAACCTAGTCGACCTTGCGAAGCCTTCGCAAGGATGAGTAGAGTAGAGGTTCTGATGTGGATGACCCAGGGTTTGCATACGCACTTGGTTTACGCAGGTCACACGTTTATAGGATAGCATGGGCATGTGCAGCATTCTCGCTCTTTGATGGGGCCGTGACCTTGGAGACGGGGGGGGATTGGGAGCATTTCCTACAAGCGCAGCTCGGGACCCCTGAATAGCAAATGAGACATAAGATGCTACGTATAGTCTAGGCAGATGACAGTAGGTCTCATCAAGACACCTGCGACCAGGAGGAGCTGTCAAACTTTCGCACTGCCATCAAGGACCCTGCGCTGTTCTGCCGTTGGTCGTGCTTTGAGAAGGGTAGGTTTCTGCTTTCAGAGAGTAATTAGGTTTCTTGAAAGAGAATCGAATGACCCTAGCATGCGCTATGTTGACCGTCTAGCCTTTCTCCCTTTTGCAAACAGGAGCATCTGTCGACAATCAGGGCGGCCCTGGATGGACCAGGCGGATGCTTTAAAAAAAGATTGTCCAGGGGGTATAAGCACCGCTTCAGAAACGGCGACCCGAACCAAGACTCAGCAACTATGAATGGAGGGTGTGTTTTTTTCGCGATGCGATCTATCTAGGGTTGGGGGGAACTTCAGGGCCTGGGGCTCGGGAGGATCGAGGAATCAAAGAAAGAAAGAAAACAGAAAGAAAGAAATAAATAAGGAAATAAAGGACTAAAGAAGGAAAGAAAGAAGGAAAACAAGGAAAGAAAGAAAGAAAGCAAGCAAGAAAGAGGAAAGAAAACAAATGAAAGAATGAAAGAATGAAAGAAAGAAAGAAAGAAAGAAAGAAAGAAAGAAAGAAAAGAAAGAAATACCACAGAAGAAAAAAACACAATGAAAAAACAACGACATAGACAAATATAGAAAGACAGAAAGCAACAAGAAATACAGACAGAGAGAAAGCAACAGAAAAAACAAAGACAGAAATAATGAAAGAAAGAAAGATATAAAGCAAGAACGAAAGAAAGAACCAAAGAAAAACTAAATAACGAAAGAACGAAATAAAGAAATAACAAAAAAAGAAAGGAAGGCATAACGACATAAAGAAAGAAATGAAGAAAGATAAAATTGAATCAAGAAAGAAGGACAGAATCAAGGAACAAGGTTCTTAGTACCATTCCAAGCCCGTCCTGCGAGCATTGTGTTGCAACTGCCCCCCCCCCCCCCCCCAACCCCGCTTTTTGAACCTTCATGCCCAGAAGAGAACTTGCATTAACACAACATCGGAATCCCAAGTCCCGTCTTGCGAGATTTGTGTTTGCAATGGGGAGGGGGGGGGGGCTACGAGCCCTCAACCCCCCCCCCCCCCCCCTGCTTTGTCCTAAGCTTCATGCATGTGAGCAGTGTGTGAGTAAATTGAATGAACTCCTATCAAGGAAAGTGGCCAAGTCAGTGCGAATTCCATGAAATTGGTTGGGCTCCCATAAAATACAGAAGCAATATGAAGCAATAGGGTTTTCTTAGGAAACAACCAAAAAGCACACAGAGGCGAATCCCATGAGATTTTGGCAAAAGCCTATGAAACAACAGGGCCAATCAATGCGAATCCCCCGACAGTTGGGTCCAATTATATAACCTACAGAGAGCAAGACAGTCTTTCCTAGGGAAATACTCATTAAGCAGAAGTAGCTGGCCAGATGATTGTGGCTCGAGGGTCTTGTTTGACAGGCCTTGATGACCGAGGCGTCAGCGTGTCCGCCTGGAGCCCAGCGGTCGGAGGCAAAGCCGAGACCCCTTGGAACCTGGAAAAGCCTTCTGCAAAAAGCCATGTCTCCTCTCTGAAACCTTCCCCAAAGCTCTGCGCCTCCTAAGAATGAAGTTCTCCTGTTTAAGGGCAGCCTGCCGACGGTTCTGCAGCCTCGAATCTGCCAGGCTCGCGCATCTTGCACCCAAACTCGAATCCGGCAGGTTTTGTGGGTTTCTTGTGACATATTGCTTGATGCTGCAGGTCCTATGCTGCAATTAAAGTCAGCATGCTTCTCCATATGTTGCTGGGGGTCGTTGGCGACATTCCGTGACTGAGTTGTGGTGTTCATCGCGATCTCAGGGTCACCGACCACGGGGTTTTCCGGAAGATCTGGGAGCCTGCAACTCTCAACCTGTGGAAGAAGTCTTGACTTGCAACTGCTGGATATGTGTGTCAGGTGAAGTCAGGTGAGATGCAATAAGCTACCCAAGCCCTGTCCCCTCCCTTTCCAGGCCATGGACCCACTGCTACAGCGCTGTCACGCGCCGTGGCCTCAGCCTTCAAATCCCCCTCGACATCTCTCCAATCGCCGCGGAGCCCTTCTCCATAGAAAGGGCGGCGGGTTGTTGAGGGGTATGGTCTTGGCTCTGAGTCGGCTCTGAGTGGCTCCCACATGACGTGTTGAAACAATCATGCGCTTCGTAACGGAATTCCATCTAGAGCCTCATTTTCGACCTCCTGGAGCTGCAGACGACTAACGATCTGACTGACAAGTGACAGCCATGACTTCTTGGATCCCTATCCCCACCCCCCCCCTTACCGCGGTGGGGTGGGTGTGGTTGGGTTTAAGGTTTAGGGCCTCCCGCGCGCCCCACCCTGCTGTGGGTGTGGTTGGGGGGTTCGGGTTTAGTGTTAAAGGTTTAGGGTTTAGGGTTCGGGGTTTAGGGTCTAAGGTTTAGGCTAGGATTTGAGGGTAAAGGTTTAAGAGACCGAGCCGCCCGTGCTACCCCTGGTGTGGGTGTGGTTTGGGGGTTAGGGTTTTGGGTTTATAGGGTTTAGGGTAGGTTCAAGGTTTAGGGCTTACATAAGTTTAGGGTTTAAGGTTTAGCCACCCCTGCCTGTGCTGTGAATGGGGGTTGACGTTTGGGGTTGAATGTTTACGGTTTAGGTGAAGTGGTGTGAGGTTTAAGGTTGGTTAAGGTAGGTTTGGGGTTGCGGTAGGGGGGTGTGGGCGACCGGTCTGGCGGGGGGGTTCCATGGGGGGATAATTTGGGGGGGGGGGGTAGGACCCCGGGAGCCCGAGACCATTTATGGCATGTTGGTAGGGTTTACGTCGGTCAGAGGCTTTGCCGCTGCAGAAACAGCACAAAGAAGCCGAACCTATCTGGAGGCGGCGCCCTGCCAGCAGCGGCCGTGGGGTGCCGACGCCCATGTCAGGGCCCAAAAAGCGGGTCTGGGGAGAAGACATGACAACTGTCTTAACAGCAGAGAGCTGAGCCCGGGGGTGTGGGACTTGCCGGCTTGCTATAGAGTTTTACAGCGGGATGGTCGAGACAACCCATAGTGGTCTGGGTGGCCCTAAGCCCTAAACGAGGTACCCGGGGTCAATGACAATAGGGTTGGCTAAACACCTTCCTCTGCAATTCTTCAGAAGCTGAGGCCGAAGACCCGCAACACCCCCAAACCCTGAAACGGCCACACACAAGTAAACGCAGGGCGCTTGCGACGGACGGCTTCCACAGGAGCGCGGAGCTCAGACACTGCCGGCGACCCCCCCCCCCCCCCGCACGGCGGAAACGCCGCTGCCCCTCGGAAGTTTGGACCGATATGGTTCTAAGTCTTGCGGCGTAGGGGCCGTAGGTGCCGTAGGTGCCGTAGGTGCTTGAGATGTGCTTGAGATTTTGCTTTTCCGTTGGGTTTCTTTAAGTCCTTTTTCCTTGAGCATCGCCCTGATATGCGGCCAGTTTCTGATAGCCTTTACCTTGAGTGCTTTTGACCCCGGGGCGGCTGATTTCAAGAGTCTAGCCCCCCCTAGGGCCCTAGGGCCCTAGGGTGGCTGAATTCGAGGGCCTGTCGAGGCAAGATCCCTAGAGTCG